CATCAATAGAATCACACTAGGTTTATGTAGGTCTTCCACCTAACTACGGAGTAATTTGTGAATAAAATAAATTAAGAAAGGATGCAATTGTACCTCATAATTTTAAGAAGAAAGTACCAAAATAGAAATTTTATGTTTTATTCCCTAAATAGGAGTTTATATTGTGGATTTGTGGTAATGTGTCACTGCATGTACATGTAAATTTTATGTTTTATTCCCTAAATAGGAGTTTATTACGTAATGTATATGATAATGATTGGTAATGTAAATGCATTTTAACTCTTATTTCGAAAATAAAAAATATGAAACTCTTATTTTAATATATTTTTAATATTTTACTTTTAATTTAGTTTTTTTTCCAAATTCCAACTCTAATTTGGAGAGGGAGAGTGTATATAATTGGTACATGAGATCCTGGTTCCTGACTCGACGGGACATCATCCCCAGTTCAGTTTTCAAGCTTTTCAGGACAATGGAGATGAAGTTTTTGTTCTTTTTAAAGAAAGTATTATGTGCATTTATTAATCTTTTTAAAAACAACAAAAAAAACAACAATCCGGGTAGATTCCAGAATAATAGTATACGCCAGGACTGGTATAATAAGAGAGTGTCTTATGCAGACTTTGCATCTACTCGAAAGCAGACATGCCATTTCCAAGAGACCCCATTTCATACTACTTAAACTTCATTCCTAAAAAACAAACAAGAATTTAAATGATTAAAAATGCATGGTGTATATGAAGATGTATACCTCTATTCACACGTTCTCCATATTTTTTTAGTGTTACGCTATTGACGTTATTATTATAATTGTAATATCAATTTATGCTTTCTGAATCTATATATTGACGCACAATGAACCAATGTCTCTGTTCGTAACGAAACCTGATAAGTATCCCATAAGATCTTGGATACTTGTTTACCTTTTATGTTACTCAAGCGAAGATATAAGCTAATACCATCTTCATAACGTTCGTTTGTAATTTACTCCGTATTTTTTATGGTTGAATTCGTGGTCAAGATTCCCAAATTTGGATTAAGTTTTGTTGTAGATAATACACATTTTTTGTAATATAAATTTAAAATCATGACCACACTTATTTCAAAACATAATATTCTTTAGATTTATTTATATACATATATTTATTACAAAAAGAAATACTTCATTCTACATACTCTGCATAATATTAGAGATCGTGAAAATTCAACAATAAAAAAAGTGGCCTCGAAAATTTAGGGTCCGTTTGGTATACGGAATTAATAGAATTGGAATTGAAATTCCATTGGATTCAATTCCATAGAATTGAATTCATCCATTCCAATTCATTTTTTGCACTACCAGCTCCAAATCCACATAATTTTTGTGCTACCAAACACCGGAATTGAAATCCTCAATTCCAATTTCATAATTTGAATTCTGTGTACCAAACAGGGCCTTAATAAATTTTTAAAAAAATACATAAATTGAACAATCTCATCCGATCATTTGGCTTAGTAGAATACAAAAAAATAAATTGACCAAAAAATGATGGGTTGGAATGTAAGATGGGCCCAAGACATGTGTGACATGTGTACCAATTTGTTGTCAATATTATAATTTTGATTTTTTCATTGACATATGCATCCCCATACACTATAATCATGCATCCGGCCACACCATACCATTTCCTGAAAATCCTGGAAAATTCTTTTACGCTATGACAAGTTCAAGAAAAGACATTGAAATGCGATACTCATTCATTTTTCACCAAGGTTCCCATGATATTAGAATTCAATGTCATGGGTTTCCATTATATTGGTTCAGGTGATTCATTGACAAATAATAAGAATAATAATTACTCCCTTCGTCCTAAAATTAACTTCCCATTTGACTTTTCACGGTCTCCAATGCGACACTTTGACCATTAATATCTCCATTTTTATATGAATATATATTATCAAAATAATATACAGTATTTCAAAACTATGTTTCAAAATGAATCTATTGACACCAAAATTATATGAAAATTCAATATATTTTTTCGTAATATACAGTTAAAGTTTAAAAACTTTGACTGCAAAAATCAAAATAGAAAGTTAATTTTAGAACGGAAGGAGTATTATTAATAATTAATTAACCATATATATATGACACTAGTTAGCTAGGTAGAAGATGAGATGATGACTGGTTATCAACAAGCCTGGCAAGGTTGGATCAGTACAAAATAGATGTCACACAAGTAGTAAAAGATTTGAGCTGTCAAAAAACGACTACTCCCCATTATGGAAACACAAAAGCCGGAAGAATGTAAGAAAATCTATTCATGAATCCCACTCCCATACGTTTTTTTAAACCATTAGTAATTAGACAACTAAAATTCAATCCAAACTTTCTTTTTTGTTTCCAAATTTCATGTTCGTTTAACAATAGTATTTGTGATTAGTGTTAACGCTTTATGCTATAATTTTGTAACAGGAAAAATTTACAACTTATGTGAACGCGAATAAGCCAAAAGTTATTGTCTGATAGGAAGTTTTTCAAAATATTAAAGTTAATCTCAAAATGTCACACATGCATGAATAAATCACATAATGTAATCATATCCCTTTGTTACGGGTGGGAGTATATTACTACTCCGAATTTATCAAGGAATCGGCACAACTAAAAATTCAAATTGAAATTGTAAGTTCAGAATATACTACCTTCATCCCTAAAATATTGCCACATTTTGAAATTTTTGGTTAAATTGTGTCAATCTTTGGCTGTAAATTATGTTAAAAGTATATATTTAGTTATATTGTAAATTTATTAAAACTGTGTTTATTTTAATCATTAATTATTTAATTTNGCTTTGAGGCCGTTAAAATGAGATGGACTTGTCTAAACTCTTTAGAAAGAGATGTGACAAAATTATTATTTCTCTAAATTCAAATTGTATTGTACGTTTTGATGGTCTCCCCTGAAATTTAAATGTTTTTAAGAGAAAAATTAATTATTCAATCATATGAACTCTTCATACGACGAACATATGGTAAAACTTAAAACGGAGTATTATATTAATTGTATTTCACTTTATCTACTTTGATTTTAAATACTCTTTAATTAATGTTATGTTTGACTGTGGGAAATTAAAAGTAAATTTTATTTTATTGTTTTCACTCTTTAAATGTTCTAAAAGATTTCTTTCAACTCACATTTAAGTGTGGAATTGTTATATGTGTGTCTTAATTGAAAATTAGTTATTGTCAACACTATTAGAAAACTATGCATTGGAGTTGAGAAATATAATATAGGGTATGTTTGATTTTATTTTACGTACTACTTAATTAATTACTCCGATCCTCCTAGTGATTATTTGTGGGGTTTTTTTTATGATTATTTATGGTTGAAATGTTACTCATATAAAAGAATTATATATTTCATTTTTCGTATGGTTTAAAACAATCCTTCATTTTAAGAAAATAAATTCTATAACTCCATTTACTCTGTATTATTATTATTATTATTATTATTATTATTATTATTATTATTATTATTATTATTACTATTATTATTATCAATTATTAGTATTGAGGTGTGCAGTTGCACATTTAAAGTACTCGTATTAATTAAACCCCTCGAAAATCTAGCCATTAGAATGAAGTGACGGGACATAGTTATTTATTCATGGGATGTGGATCTATCTGCATCGTAATGTTTTTTTAATCTTATTGGCGTGTTCATTACGAAACAACATGCCAACTTTTTTAGCCAAAATCTTTCCCTTTAGAACTCTCCATCCAAATTGAACTAAGAGATAAAACCCTACTTTTAGCTTGCCTATATCAAATGGTTTTAAGGCTTCTTTTGATTGCTCCTTAGAGATGCATAGTGCAAAGGAAACTGAAACATCTATCAAATCTTTTAACTACAAATGGTAAGACACATTTGTATTAGAAGTTGGCATACTATCCTAATAAACTCGTTGCTAAAGCACAGTGAGAAGGGGTTGTGGATGGTAAATAACACAGATTAAGCAGTGACAGACATAGGAAAAAATGACATAGGGGACATTATTGGGGCAAAAATAGTTCAGAATCTGGGAATAGTGCTCTAAAAAAACGAGTGTTATTTGAAATGATGAAGAAATTATTAATTTCACCTAAAACATTATTTAAATAATTAAAATAAAAAGTCTCAGAAAGGAAAAATATTATTTACAGAGTATATATATCATAAGTTTGTTTTAACTATATACTCCATCTGTATTAAAGTCATATTAGATCAACTTTAGTGGAGTTGTTTAGGGGAGTGTTCTTAACTAAGAATAGTTGCTTAGTAAATATATACGGAGTATTCAATTCCTTAGCCTAAGTAACTCATTTGATAAATTAAGTAATTCATGCTCCAGTTAGACTCGATATAAGCTCTACTTAGGCTCGACATTAAGTTTTAATAGTTAAGAAATCCTCATGATTTTTTCCATTAGAGATGTTGTTAAAAGCATAAACACATAGTCTCTCCGTCATGGAGAAAAGTTTCTGATCCATTTTATGACGTTCTATCGGAGTTAATAACTATTTTCAATTTAATTTACTTGAAAATTGATATACATTTTTAAACATGAAAAATTTAAATTTTAAATTAGAAATTCCATTAAATAAAACATGACAAGAGTATTTTATCAATAAAAACATATAAACAAAAAAATACGAAGTATAATTTAAAAGAAATCGCCCTAAATAAGAGAAAACATAAAAACAATACCTAAATATGAGCTCCATGTTTTTATCTCCAAAACAAGAGTTCGTACTTTGTCATTGCATATAGATATTTCACAGTATTTTTTAGTAATATATATGGTCATAATTAATAATGTAAGTGCATTTTTACTTTTTTTCAAAAATAAAAACATAAAACTCATATTTTTGATATATTTTCAATATTTTTTTTCTCTACTTTAAACTTTAAAGTGTTTGAAAATAGAGAGATGAAGAGGTTTAACTAGTTTTCACATGTCTAACATAATTAGCTAGGTGGACAGCTAAGCAAGTAGTTCCCTTGTGGGCTGTGTGATTTGGGTCCCACTCCTCTTTATTTTTTAATTTTTCCCCCATCATTTAAAGCAAAGCCCAATTTACTGCCAAGACCTTTATAATAAGACCCTTCAACCATACATTCCATTGCATCTCAAACCTCTTTTTTTTTGGTCTCTCCAATTTTTCTGAATAATTTCTTCTAGTGATGGGAGCAAAAGCCCATGATTACTACTTCTCATCCGCCCCAACCACCGCCGCCGCCTCCACCTCCTCCTCCGCCGTCTCGCACCCGGCGGATTCCGGCAACTCCAACTCCTCCCCTTCCTCCGCCTCCAGCAGCTGCGCTACTAATAAGAGTTCCTTAAAGCCCAAGAAAAGCCCAAAACAGGAAAGCAGGGGCGGAAGTAAGAAAAGGCGAAAGATGGAGGGCGAAGATAAACACCCCACTTTTCGAGGGGTGCGAAAGAGAAATTGGGGAAAATGGGTGTCCGAAATCCGAGAGCCGAGAAAGAAGTCCAGGATATGGCTCGGGACGTACCCGACGGCGGAAATGGCGGCCCGGGCGCACGACGTGGCGGCGTTGGCCATCAAGGGCGCCTCCGCTTACCTCAATTTCCCTCACTTGGCCGATCGCCTCCCCCGTCCGGCCTCCAATTCGCCCAAGGACATCCAAGCCGCCGCCGCGAAGGCCGCAGAGGCCGCATTCGAGCCGCCGAGCTGCCAGTCGTCGAGCAATTTGACGTCGGAGAGCGCGCTGGAATCGGCGAATACTCCGTCCACGAACGGAGACTACGACGACACCTTCTTCGACCTGCCGGATCTCTTCATCGGCGGCGGATCTAGCTCGGGTTGGCAGCTGGCCGAACCGGATGCCGGACTCCGGCTCGATGAGCCGTTCTTCTGGGAATGCTACTAGCTCAATCTTACTTATTATCTTTATAGGAAATTCAGGAAATTTTAAGAATAAAATTGCAGAAAAATCCCCACGATTTTAAAAAAAATAATCATGTCCATAGAAATAATAATTCTCCAAAAAAAAGTCAATTTCAGAAACTTTATGTTCGCTCGGGATATTTTTGACAGATTGATTAATTAATTAATTAATGTAATTTATGAAGAATAGCAGTCACAGTTCAGAATTTGTTGAGTTTTTATTTTGTTTGTTTTTTTTGCTAACAAGTCCTTGAGTTCTTGTGAAATTAATGTAAAAAATTTTGAACAATTTTTTTATTTTGTAAGCTTCTTCTTTGTATTGCTTGTGGAGTGTAGATATGATTCAATGAAGAAATTGTCTTCTTTGGTTTTGGAGGGTTTGGAGGAGACAACAAAAGTTTATTTCACATTGAATTATTAGTATTATTATAATTATAATATGATGGTGATAAAGGTGCAGTGGACACATTATATATGTATTTTTGGCTTCAATCACTAGATTGTTTTACCTTTTTCGGTAATGGGACAAATTATATTGCTGGAAGAAACAAATTATTCTCTTGCATGAGATTTCTTTTTTTTTTACTTTTTGCATTTGTCCAAAATAAACTTTTTTTTACCACTCTAATCCAAATTTAGCATACATTTACTTCAATCAATTCCAATCAAAATAATTTACACGTTTACATTTCATTGCCCCCCTTCACGGTTTCACATCCACTATGCCACACATAATTTTATCACTTCAAGTCATACTTTTTTACACAACGTCAAACCACGTCATAACACATAGCCTAATATGGAGTAAGAAATTAATGGGAATAGATCTAAAAGATACTCTCCGAAAGAATTTTGGGCTTGTTCTCTTCACTTAATCTGGTTGATTCTAATTTCATTGACATGAGTTTTGATCAAAATTTATCTGGTTTGATTCCATTGAAGTTATATTTAAAGTTATTTCTCATCAGGTCTGATTTGAACAAAAATAAGTACTTCCTCTGTCCCCCTGTATTTGTCCACTTTCATTTTTACACATCATCCAATGCACTTCTTTAATCCATTTTATCTTGTAATTTATATATTAAAAAATTATAAAAATTATATATTAATAATCTATATGTTAAGACAAATCAAACAAGACTATATTTAGGCATACACATTGAGAGAATTTGATGAGTCAAAGTGTGTAGATGAACAGTTCCAAAAATCAAATGTGGACAAATACAGGGGGACGGAGGGAGTAATATTCAGTAAGTAATAAGAATAAATGAAGAGAATTGAACAAATTAAACTATTTATCCTTTTTTCTTTTTAGGTGTCTAAAAATACGTTTCACGTACTTATTTTTTTTAGTGATGATCAAGTGTTTTACAAGATTTTATATACTCTCTCGCCCAAATTGTTTGCAACACTTCGAGCGATGTGCAAAATATCATCTCGTATAAGATCATTTTTTTTAATAAATTAGTAAAGAAATAAAAAATAAAAATGACACCGTTCAAAAGTATATATCAAAAGCTCTACAAAACAAGATACATGTGACATTAATTTTTATTTTATCAAATGGTTAACCAAATGGAGTAAACGAACAAAGGTTATCGAGAGACCGAAATAGTAATTGTAATATTCTTATTGGGTCGGATGGAGTACCATCTAAACTAATTCTAACAATACATTTATTAGTCGCATTTACTGACATTATTTTTTAAAATTGTAAAAATCAAATTAATATATCTACTTGTATCCCAAAATGTACCCAAAAAATTACACTTATATTTTGTGTCAATGTAAGTCATTAAAATATAAGTATAAATTATTAGAATACATTTCATGATACAATTTTTGGAATACATTAAGAAACAAATTGTACAATATTAATTGTGACAGGAAGAAATATAAGATAATTAAAGAAGTACTCAATTTCCGGGGTTTAAAAGGAGGTAGGTGACCTCGAGATACTACGGAGTATGTGATACGAATTTTTTTTCTTGGTCTTATCTTTTGACTTGTAACTTAATCATAGGGAATATTTTAAATGGAACATTATTTAAGATCAAACGAAAACATTAAGATCAAAGTAGATGGTTATATTTTGGACTAAGAAAATTAAAAAATTAATATCAGATTACATTTTTCTAAGTGAAGAGTGAGCAAATTCTAATGCGAGCATTTAAAGTTTGATTTTTTTCAGTCAAAATTAAAAAATTTAACCTCAAATAAAATGAAAGTTATATTCCCTCCGTCCCATGAAACATGGGATGTTTTGCTTTTTGAAGAGATTTAAGGGAGTGTATTTTGGTATTCAATTTTCAAAAATGTCCTTTGATGTGATGAGTAAAAGTAGGATTTGATGGGTAGATTATTAGTAAAAGGGTATGATGTGATAGGTAGGGTATGAAAAAGTAAGGGGTAAAAGGAATTTTTTAAGGGAAAAGAAAAGTGTTTTATGGGACGGATGAAAAAAGAAAGGAGAAAGGTTTTATGGGACGGAGGGAATAGTATATACACCTTGGTTCTCATGACATTCGTTCAATGTCATGGGATGACCCGAGGGCGTTCTGGTGCCCCATTCGTAAAATTGACGATTCCTACCCCCCGATAAACCCCCATCTCCGCCCCGACCCGAACACACCCCCCACCCCCCTTCAATTGCACCCCACGAGTTGATTTTGACTTTGGAGTCAAATTTGAATCCAAAGTCAAAATCAACTTGTGGGGTGCAATTGAAGGGGGGTGGGGGGTGTGTTCGGGTCGGGGCGGGGTGGGGGGGTTACCAGGGGGGTAGGAACCGTCAATTTCACGAACGGGGCACCGGAGCGCCTCCGGGTCATCCTATGACATTGGTTCCCCAATGTCATGGGAACCAAGGTGATATTTTACTTAAATTAAGTCAAAAGTTGAAAATGATCGGCTGAAAAAATCAAAATGCGACAAATAGTCAAGATTGGAAGTAGTACTCCGTATGTAGTATTTGTATCTGATCATCATAGTGTATTTACAAATCAAAATTTTTTGTGTGTGAATGTATTGAATAGTTCTTCCCCGTCCCTAAATAAACTTCAGGTACATTTTATTTTTTATGGTTACTTGAAATTATTTTCAACGTAGCTAATTTCGGTTCTTAAGTCCAAATTAAAATTTATTTGTTGTAAACATATAAAGTACGTACAAGCTAAGTTTGTAAGAAAAAAAAGTGAAAAGTGATGTTAGCAATTTAGTGAATGAATTATAAAAAGAGAGAGGCCCTATTTAGTCAAAGAACATTTGAAAAAGTGAAAGAGAGAGAGAGTAATTATATAATTATAATAAAGAAATGTGAATGTATAGTGTTGGGACTACGCGTGCCCTCACCCCAACCCCGCATTAGTATGATATTGTTCGCTTTGGGCCAAGTCCTCACGGATTTATTTTTGGGCACCTCCCAAAAGGCTTCATACTAATGGGGTTGGGTGAACCTATATATTTTGCTCCATTTTTTTTCTTCCTCCAGTGTGGGACTTGGAGGAATCCCCAACATATAGTAAGATATAAATTTGTTTTGATTATTATTTATTAAAACGAGAAAATCTGTCAAATAAATAAATAAATAAGGGGTGTTTGGTGAAACATATTAGGGGTTGATTTAATTTGGAGGGAGCAAATGGGCAATCAATTAAGAATCAATGATTGAGAGAATGATATGAAAATATGATAAAACTTTATGAATTACTAGCGCCCAGTTATTGGTCCACAGATCATATGTTTGAATTCATCACTTGTTAAAATTTTCTCATTTCTATTAAAAGGTCATTTTTATCCTTATTATTTCTTAACATACATATCACATCAGAGCTATTCACTACTAATCTACCTATCATTTCCTACATTTACCTATTACATCAAAGGACATTTTTGAAAACTCAATACCAAAATATACTCTCCCTAAATCCTTTAAAAACCAAAACCTCCCATGTTTTTAGGGACGGAGAAAGTAGTACGTTTTACTGAATAGGACCAAGTATATTTTTTAGGGAAATTTACGTAAATAGTACTAAAACATATAGTGACTTGCCCAATATAGTACTATATGTTTTTATTTTCCAATATAGTATCGTTGGTCATTGTTTAAGTAAATGTCCACCGACACTGGACATTGTTCTAACTAAATGTTCACCAGCACTGAAAATTGTTCCCACTTTTAGACATTATTAAAGTACAATTTAAGAAATAAAATACGGTATATTCAATATTGTATTAATATAATTATACCTCATATATATTATGAATACGAAGTAATATACAGTCAGTACATTTTTTCTTGCACATCTTATATGGTGAAAACTAATTTTTGGTTAAACATTGTAATTTATATTCCAAAAGTATTATTTCGCTTATTTAAACTATCAATTAATTTCACAATACGTATTATTCTATTAAATTTTTTCACTTGCTTGTGAAATACTTAAAAAATATATATATATTGAAGGACAAACAATTAGGGACGGAGGGAGTAAATATTTTGCACATTAGTCCTATAAAAAAGATATTTCATGATATGTAGGAGTGTAAACGGATATTAATCGGATCAAATGTGCCATTACCAAATCCGTATCAGTTTATTTTTGTCGGATATCGAATTCAGATACAGATCTTGACGGATACTGAAAATCAAAACCGTATCCGCATTCGTCGGATATCGAATATACCCGTATCCGTTTCCAATTTTTAAAATCAAATTAAACAATACTTTAATTTTAAATTAGATTAAAGTCAAACTATTATTAAATCAACTATAATTTGGTATGGGATAATTATTTTCTTTGTTTTCATGATTTATGATATTCTACGATAACTTTATATGATAAAAAGATATACACAGCACACATATATACATATTTTTATATGTCTGTATATATTTTTATGTGTCTACACATTTATTTTGTATATAAAAGTGTCTTATATTATGAAATATCAATAGAGAAACAAATTATAAACTTAAAAAACTTTGGAAAAACTATATATAACGGATCGGATATTCGGATAAACGGTTATTGAAACGGATGCATATTTGGATCGGATATACAATCACCAAATTCGTATCCGTTTAGTAATCGGATATCCTTAATCGGATATGGATAATATCCGTTTAAAACGGATGCGTATATTTCCTCTTTAAACGAATACGGATGCGGACGGTAATCAGATTTTCGGCTATCCGTTGACAGGTCTAAATTCATGTAAATTTTTTTACTAAAATACATTCAAAAAAAATTTTCTGTGTTAGTATAACATTCATTTTTTAATTAACTATGATTAAAATTAATCTAATTTTATTACTCCCTCTCTCCCAAAATTATTGCCATGTTTACATATCCAAATTTTCGATAATTTTTGTTTGTGTTTGCATTTTCATTAATCATATAATTAAATAAAATAATCATGTCCCTACTTATTTTGTAGAACTTTTGGTGTAATTTTTATATTCGTAAATTATATTTTTTATTTCTATATAAATATGTAAATAAAGTCATTTTGAAAGGAAATTTTTTTTACATGTTATTCAAAGACGAACGATAAATTGGGAATAGATGGACTAGTCATAATATGATCTCTCTCTTTTTACAAAGGTCAATACATATAATTATTTTATGCATTAAGATTTATAAAATGAATATGAACCTAAAGATCACAGAAGAATTTGTTCATATAAAAATGAAACTGAAGGAATAATATGAGAGGAAAGAAAGCACGTGTTTAATATACACTTGTGGAATTAAGTTATAGTGTGGATGAGATGGGTAAAGAGAGCCATTTATATTGGAAGTTTTTATTCAGTTCACAATGATGATGAGTACCTCATATCTGTTTCCGGGCTGATCCGGTTGAATGGGCCGGTTTGACCACCTACTAGTAGGAAGATTTTGTGATAGCTTACCCAGAAGTGACATCATATTCCCATCATTGTCTATCTTTTTTTCCAAATCAATAATGCTAGAGTCACAAACAAACCATTCACAAAATTCACCAACTTATCTTTTTAACATTTTCCTAGAAATAAGATGTACTAAAATAATAAAATATATTTTAATTTAAAATCCAAAAAAGCAAGTTTGTGAACTACTCCCTCCGTCCCTCTAAGATGTTCTCATTTTGACTTTTGGTGGTTTTTAAGGAAAGTTGAAAAAGGGTGAAAGTTTACTTTAATACCCTTAATGAAAATGGGTGGAGTGTATTAAATGAGGTGGTTGAGGTGTAATAAATAAAGTAAGTGAGGGTAGTTGTGGTATTTTAATGGTTAAAAAATGAAATGAGAAAATCTATTGTGGACAAAGAAAAAGGGCTATTGGGAAGATCTATGGTGGACAGAGGAAGTATATATTTGTGACTCTAGCATTTTCCTTTCCTAAAAGATAGTCTCATTCTCGAGGGCTCCTTCAAGTTTGGTCGGACGGTCACTGAAATGGTCATTGTAAAAAAAATAAATTGGACTTTAATCACAAATTGGTGACAAATAGTGAAGCTTGCACTTGATACCTGAATTATCTACACAGACTATAGCCCATATGCGGCTATGCTTGAAATAGTTGCCTCCTAACGCAGTTCTCTGAAATCGGATCTAGTCTACCCCTTGGCACTTTTTGCCTTTGCAAACTGCAACTCTCACCGATTGTCTATCGTTTTTCCTGAAAAAAGAACAGGTTGAGCCTTAACCCCTTAGACCACACCGAGTGGCCTCTGTGGTAGCTCCGTGATGGCCAGGTGTGTTATAGATAGTAGAGTAAGATATTTAATTATAGTTAGTAGTAATATTATGTAATCTATGTTTTATTAGGTGAACGGAATTATAAACTCTTTTGAGGGTTTCGTTTCGATTCTTTACATCGATGCATTTGTTGAACCAACATGCTAGAAATTAGATGGGCTAGAGTGTTCATCCATTCCTTATAAATAGATATGTAACTCCTTTAGATTAATCAATGAATAAACAACACAAATCCTAAACCTCTTCTCCTCTCGGTACGCCATTTCTCTTCTCGTCTCAATCCTTCATCTGCTTCTCGTCTCAATTTCTGGAGCTTGAAGAATGCTCAAAGTTCTTTCCTATCTGATACAAGTTCGTATCATTGGTGCTCTCATTGATTTGAACACCAAAATCTCAAAAAAAAAAAAGAAAGAAAAAGAAGAGGAGAAACTAATTGCCGACCTACTACAATTTGATTTCTCCATCGTGCAACTTGGTTTTTCATTGCTGCAATTAAGATCGGCGCCCAACAAATTTTCAATCTGTATTTTAAAATAAAAAAGAAAATCCTCTTTGGACATCTAAAAAAATAAATTTTTTGAACGTCTTGAAAAAACCTTATGAGCGCACGTTTTTTTATAAGAGTATTTTCTCTATCTTTATATTTTTTCATTTTATTTTTATTCTGTTTTATTTTATTTTATTTTCCTATTCCTCGTATTCCTTTTTAAACATCTAAACATATTCTTTTTATTTTAGATAACAAAGAAATGAAAATGCTATACTCAAGGCAAATTCTTTCTTGCACTTAAGGTTCATGTCCATTTTAAGGATCTTAGTACATTTATAGCATAAAAAGTAGACCTATTACAAAAAAGAAAATATTCATAGCAAGCCCATGAAAAATATAACAAAATCCACATTTTAAATGTGGATCTTGGGACAATGTAAGCATCACTCTTTACTCAATGGAAACAAAGTATATATTAAATTTCATATTTCATTTATTCTTATTTTAAACATAAACAATTTTGATTTTTAAAATATCACAAAGAACAATTCTAAAATATTGAAAAAAACCAAAAAGAAGATATTGGCCTCTAGTGTCCGCCGTTGTTTGCAAATTAGTATCAATGCCCCCCTTTTTGCCAAAAAAAATGAATGAAAAATAGTCGAAAGGAGCAAATGTACAACTTTTGAAACCATAAAAATCTTAAAAATAAGTTTTGAGAACAGAGATGATATTAGTATTTGTTTTTCAAACTACATGATGCATGAAGCCATTTCGCTCTAAAATAACTAGTCTTTTGGAGTCAATCAAAGCGGCTCCAAGGCTAGTTTTCGGTTAATTAAGCTAATTGATCTGATTTTTTTAACTATTAGTTCCTCATATTTTCTTTTTCATTTTTAAGTATTATATTTATAAATACCTTTATCTCACATCAATGATTCTCAATAAATTTTCAAAACCCCAAAACCCTAATTTTCTCGACAACAAAAATATGCGTCTACATTGAAAAACTGTCCTTCAAAGGACAAAGCATACCAAAAGCCCACACATGACACCTTAGAGAGTTGATGCGGTTATGACTTATGCATACAAAAGGGTCGAAGCAACATTTGGTACTCTAGATTTTCAAAGACTGCCAAGGGTACACCTCACACGACGCAACACACAATGCTTTTTCAATCGCTGGTAGTTGATTGTTGGCTTTCACTAAATGGGCTCTCCAATGAGCTCATGGTTGGAAAGACTATTTTGTCCTCTTCGACACGCATGTCATAGACACTACATGTACGCCTAACACCTTCGACACATCGACTTTTGGAATTTTGGCTCTCGATACATTTGGCGAGGTCTAGCTTAGGCCATTGTGACTCTAATAGTAATTAACAACAATAGAAACAAAAAAAATTAATCAAATTACCACACTTGTATTAAGTGGATGGGTACACAAATATGAGTGGGAAATGGGAATGGGCAGCATGTCTAGTGGCTAAAGAAAGAGACAGAAAATCCTGATGGACCCATTCAAATCTTTCAAAACTTAAGTCTTTCTTAAATTCAATTAATTGCATGGGCCCCCCATTTGGTAGCTAATTATTTGAGCTCTCTAATTATTATTATTAACATCTTGAAATTACACCACCAACAACTATATTATATGCACTACTTTCTAACTAGCCCTCTTATTATATGCACTTTTCGAATTGGTTTTTTTACTTCTAAATTAGTCTTCTTAAAATACATACAATACATATCATAGTTATATTATGTGGCTTTTATTTTATTAATTTTTAATGGGAAAAAGTTGGTTAGTTTCATACGGAGTATGTGTCTCTGTCTAATGTTTCATACAATGAATGTACCCTTTATTTTGGAAGTGTATAATACATAGTTACATGCATGCATCTATGCATACTTCCTAGCTTAAATACATTTTGTAATTTGGGGTTGGTTTTTTAAACAAGTGGCCAATGTCATAATATGGCATTGAAATTCTACGTCAAAAGAATCGTGGCATTAATTTAATTTTTTTTGGTAATATGGTGTTAATTTAATTAGTAATTCATGCTTCCCAAAATAATCACGATTCATATATATGTAGTATTTTAATTTCATATGTATTTTTATACAGGAATAACTTGGTTGTCTCAATAATACATACTCCATATACTATTTAATAGTCCAGCTTTGACATGCATGCATGGGCACTCATAAGTGTGGCATATGCTATTTGGCTCAAATTACATGACCAACATCTTTAAAAGTATTTGAAAATAGTTTCTTTTCAAGATGCCTTTAGCATGCATGCATTACTTTTCATTTTTTCAAGATGTATATCGTCATAGTGTTTGTTTATTAGTCAGTTTCTATTACGGAATTAATATTGATTAATTCATAATTGTGTCAAGAATATTTCATATATATACTCTCTTGTATTTGTTGTTATTCTTAAATAAACTTATTATTCTATTATTCCGACATGGTGTAAGAATCACCGCTTCTAATGACCTAAAAGAGTTCTTCTTCCTCCCTTCTTTTGATCTAAACTGAAAAATTAAATTTGTATGTGTTTCTTCTCAGCATGAAAAACGATAGAGAAATAGAGAATGACCCAAAATGAGAAAAAGAAAAAACTCCTCATCCTCTCTCCAATTGTCAATACTCTCCCAAGAAAAAAACTCAGCAAACACAATCTTAAGCTTGTTCGTCACGCAACTAAGATCTATTTCTATATTCCTACTAGACTTATTCACGAAGGGGTTTTCTTCTCCGCATACAAGGGGTCTAGTCTCCAAGCTTACTCTCGTTTCACAACATTCAACTTGAGGAAAATGTTAGACATTAATAATAATAATAATAATAATAATAATAATAATATTATTATTATTATTATGGTAGTACGGAGTATTTGCTTATTAGTCAACTTCTATTATTGGGCTGGTTCCTGCTAGTGTTAGGAATACTTCCTCTATGTATTGCTAGCTATGACTTTCACCAATTCTTGGTTCTTTCACTCCATTCAAATCCATATTCCTTGATGCCAAAACCTCCCATCCTCCTCCCCAATTGAAATTTCTTTCTATATACTATTCTCAAAAGTACGGAGTATAACAATAGACACCCACCCTTTTTTTTAAAGTACAATAATAAAGCTCCTAAATCATTGAAGAAAAATCCAATAATATATATCCTAATAACCCCACCTCCACCATTTTTTTTGCATTACTAGTACGGTAAACAGTGTATAAGCCCACTAGTACTAAGTACTAACAAAGTAACAAGTAAGAAAACATTGAACTCACTGAAGAAGCTGCGAATGAGAAATACAGAGCAGTGGGTTCTTCTTCTCTAAGCTTGTGCAGAACGCCGAAAGTAATACCTGCATGCATATACCATAACTAGAGCTCATAGGTATACAATACAGTAGCAGAAGTAATCTGTAAACCAACTGTAAATAAACATTTGCCTGATACACTAATATTTCTAGGACATGATGGGAACTAGCTAGTTTTCAAGAAAAAACAAGTCTTGTTTGACACTTTGACCACTGTACGACTGTCAGAAATTGTGAGTCATGTTCGTATTTTTACTCGGATAAATTTGTTTGTTGGTTTGACTAAATTTAATTTCATTCCCATGCGGAGCCGAAGATTCACTATTTTTTGGCTTTGGGATACAATGGAATAAAGCAATTTGGCCCTCTAAACTGTTTGCGCTTCTTGCAATTGTGAAGGAGCAGTTGGTCAATGCACGTTTTGACGCTCATCATGGGCCGCTTGGAAACAGCCGCTCTATGTTTTAAACATAGGGGTCACACACTCACACTGCGTACATCCGACCCCCCTTACCCCATAATGGGCGGGAACCGTTGAGGCACTGGGGTAATATTGTTTGTTTGTTTGACTAAATTTATGATCGGTAACTTGTTTGAGGATTGAGACTCTTGACAATTTTTGTGATGAATTACATTAAAGAATGAGCTTTCGTTTGATCAATTTGGACCTTTTTTGGGGCAAAAATGGAAATCGCTCGTTTACTTACTCTCTCCGTCCATAAATTTCTTTTCCGGTTTGACTTTCTTGGTCAAATTTTTTAAACTTTGACCATAAATTTGAAACATAAGGAAAAGGTTAAAGTTTAAAGATGCAGCAGCATTCAGGCAGAAGAGAGACAGACATACACAAAAATCTTTATGCTGAAGATGGCGGCATACTTCCGCAGAAGACGCTCAATGGTGTACCATTCTGACCTGTCTGTACCATCTTGATAGCCAATTCGTGGCATGTGGATTGATGCTTCACACATACCGGCAAATAACAAAACCAAAAAGTTAAATAAATAGTCCATGCAGAAAGCTCAAACACTCATGCTTTCTTGGCAGCTTGAAAGACATAGGTGAGACATTGAGCAATGACAGAAACAGCATAAATTTTCTATGTCACTGTGAGAGAGAAATGACAATGTATTCTAGTGTTAATAAATTGGTTCTACAAACATCACTCTTCACTTTTGGGGATAGAGGGAGCAATAAATCAAGGAAAAGTTGCTATTTTAGTCCCTCAATTCTAGACGTGCATTATGTAATATGGGACATGTTTTACAGAATTTGTAAAGGGGAAATTGGTCTTTACACCTCATATTTTACACGAAATTTTGACTTTGCACGCCTCGTTTTGTTCTTTTTGAACATGCACGGCTTGTCTCCATCAGCACCCCATTTGCTAGGCTTTCCAACCAATTATTTACCTCAATTTTTGAGTTTGCACCACACTCGGGGTGTTATAGAGTGCATGTTCAAAGAAAATGAAACATATGCAAAGTCAATATTGGGGTAACACATGATGTGTAAAGACCAATTTATTTTAAAAATTTAGGTAAAATAGAATGCTGAGAATGCCCCCAAAACCATAATCTTTAATGATCTAAAATTTTATGATTGTAAAAGAATAGTTTTAACAAGATGGACTAATATCTAAAGTAAAACAGTCTAGAGACTAAATTAGATGGGTCCCAAATTGCATAATGCCAAAGAACTGAGGAGCTTGAAGAGTGATGTTCTATTTTAGTTCTAAATTTCAAGGGGAGAGGGGAGAGATGGTCTGTACCAATTCATACGACACATGAAAAAAAATACAGAGTATTCTAAAACATCAAGAGAGCATAGAAACCAAAAATACCAGACTTCTGAGCGGCCACATAGGATGCTTTTGAAAGGCAATCTTCTAAGTTAGGGATAGATATGTTACTCCTTGGGACTTTCCTCCTCGGATTGTATGATTGTACAACAGCCAAAGCAACCCATTGGGGAGTGTGGGGTGAGGTGCTGCTTCTACTGTTGCCACTGGAATCCTCTATTCCACAACAATAATACATCCAATCAAAAGTTAAGAAGCATTTCACGTTTTCAACTCCTAGAAGACTGGAAATGAGAACAAATTAAACAAGGGTACTGAAAAGAAACAAGCAAACTCTTATAAGAAAAATAAAAGAGAAAGGAAAAGTAATTTTTCTTCTTAAGTGTCAGTTTGGATGGACTTTTGGAAGATTTTGGAGAGCTTAGTATATATCTCAATAGATACGATGTTACTTAAAATGAGTTAAGAGTGATTGATATACACTCACATGTTATGTTATTCCTTCAACTTTTATAAAACATCAAACATATACCAAGACAGACTTAACCTATCGAAGTGGGGTACCTTCTGTTAGAATATAAATAACTGTTCCTGGGCCACAACCACAAGCTTGAGCTTTTGGTTGAGTTGGTTCCTTGACATGGTATCGGAGCCTCGTTGACTAAGAGGTCACGGGTTCGAAACTCAGCGCCACCCAGTTTAAAAAAAAAAATTAAGGTTTCACGTGCAAGGCTCGAAAAAGAATACGCCTGCACGTGAGGGGGCGTGTTAGAATATAAATAACTGTTCCTGGGCCACAACCACAAGCTTGAGCTTTTGGTTGAGTTGGTTCCTTGACACCTTCCAACTCTGTGTTCTACACTTCAGGTTTAGGATACAGGCACATTAACCATAACAGATGCGATCAAAATTATTCACCTGTAATTTCTATAAGATGGATATCACCCAAGTGAAGATCACCAAATTCAGAAGCTTGCTCGTATGCCATAGAGATACTTGGTGAAAGTCTAGCAAGTGCATTAAACATTCCTCCATGTCCCCAGCTTCCTGAATCATCAACACAGCTGCCAAATTGACGTTGGCCATTATCCAACTCGATCAAAGAAAAAAAGCAAAAAAAAAACTTTATCACAAGAATAACTCATGCATATGTTTGAAAAAAATACTCCAATTATTCTATAAAAAAACTTGTTTGATTATGGTACAACTTTATGTTTTTAGTCAACACAATCAAGGTACAAATATTTACAAGTTATGAGTGGTCAAAATAAAGCATGTTGGGAAAAAAAATTCTCGCTGTTTTTAGGGCTTACTATTTGTGTAAGCCCTAATATATTTTGTCCTTTTTCACTTTATTGTATATCTCACTGTTTTTATCCAATACCATATTTCGTCACTTATATTCCTAAAACTTAGTTTCAAGATTGTTTAAAGTAGTTCATTATAACCGCTTTCTGCTTGGCTTTACAAGAACTCAACTTGAAACCAAAGTTGACTCTTAAAATCAGACTCCTTTTTGGGGCAAAAATACTTCCTGAAATGGGACTCCTTTTTGGACTGAGGGAGTAAATGAAATCATCTATTGGCACCTTGTGCTCTACAAATACACCAAAACAGAACAAGACTCAAGCAAGTATACCAAGAGTTACCAATTAAAGACATATGAAAAGGGTATCAAGTCATTCTACTTGTGAACACCTTCTATAAAAGCACAATCATGGGGGCATGCATACATACCTGAATATAATTGTAGGCTCTGATGGACAGACCTTTGAGGGATGTGTGCAATCCCCATAGACAAAATGAACAGAGCCAGGATCCGATGTATTGCCCTTATCCGCAGGGAAAACTGGGTCTTTCACACACAATGAATGATATCCCAGAGCTTCCCATTTGGATATTTTTTTCTCCTCTGCCTTTTTTCTTGCAGCTTCAGCTTTTAAATTATTCTCCTCCGGCAATTTTCTCTTGCTTCCCATTTCCATTGTTGGGGTATCATTTGTTTGCAATACTTCCTTAAACTTTTCAATCCAAGATTGGTATGAAATTTCATCTACAACAGGTTCAAGATCAACAGAACCGGAGATTCCCTGAGTGATAGAACAGCTCCCATCGAGTATGTCCATGTAATTCATCTCAAACTTCTGGTCAAACTTATCCAACTGTTTCTCCTTGCGTAACGCAAGTATTTTTTCAGTCATTGCGTTTAACTCACTCAAATCCACTTTATCAGAGTTTCCCTTGCTACTCTCCAAGGGATCTAGAATGTGTAAGCCAAGTACAATAGACCGTAAATCACCAGAATCTGCTCCTGGAATTCCTTTCCCGTTCTCTTTCCCATCCCCATCTGCAGTATCCTTTCCTATTATGTTGTGGCTCAACTGTAATTTTTGATTTGCTCTGCGCATAATGACCTATGCAGATAACATACTAATATTCAGCTGCAAACCAAACAGCTAATTAAGTAGATTCTCATATTTCACATTCACCTCATCCACTGTCCTCCGGGTAATTAATTGAATGGACAAAACATCTTTCATTTGACCAATCCGGTGAGCACGCTGTAGAGCCTGCCTATCCACCTGTGGATTCCAATCTTGTTCATAAAATATGACCTGCACAATATCATGAGTAAAAAGTCAATAGAACACAGAATAGAGCACATAGGTAATGACATAAATGCATAATCCATGTCTGAATGCAGCAGCAGAAAAATGGGGTTATTTTGCAGTTGGAGAGATTTTAAGAAAGGATAATTATTTGATATGGGCTACACAAGTGTGAAGAAATCAGAACTGTTTGTGAGACTAATTTATCAGTCTTGGCCCTATCCCCAACGGTGCACTAAGCTGCTCCCGGATTATCATCCCTTTCAAAGTTGAAACAGAACAATAGAAATATAGAATATAACCTACTTCATCACAATGATAGGAACCCACAGGGATGCGGAGGGACTATCATCCCTTTCAAACAGAAAATATAACCCGCTTCAATTTGACAACAGTAGGAAACCAAGAAGTTGAATTACTTAGTTTTAAAAATAACTTTTATCTGTTTATGGAGGTTAGGCACTTAAGGGTGACACCGTGACACAATGAACAAAGGCCTTACACAATGTGCTTTCAATCCTACACAACTGCTAAGACTGGAGAAAATGTGAAAGGTGTCCTTTGGGAAAAGAAAAGAAAAATGAGATGAAAAGCAATTTTCATGTCTGGTTAGAGAGAAAAAAGAAAAGAAAAGTGGAAAGAAAATAAAATGAGAAGACAAAATAGGCTTAGAAGAAAGAAAACTGGATTCCTTACATTTTGGTGAGAAAAATTTGATGAATTGTTTTCTTTTATTTTCCTTTCCTTCCGAATTTCCTTGAACCAAACATAGGGTTAAGAAATTAAACTTCCAAATATTGGATATTATCATCACTGACAAAGTACTTCACATTTGCGGGTTGATTTTACAACATTCATCCTGTAATATAATTGTCTAGTTGAACATGAATATATCAATTAGCAAATATCTCAACTCATAGATGTGTAAAAATATTTTCCATGCATGTTGAAATAAACTATGATAACGTTGATGGTTTTCGTATTTCCCATTGCCAGTCTTTTGGCACAATAGTCTTCAGTAAATTTATGCAACCAATTGGCACTATAAATTTAATGCCACCGACCCGACCTAGTTGGGATTAAGATGTCGCTAATGATGAATGAATGAGACTAAATTCATATTCATATTGATAATTCCATATGAATGAGTTGTGCCATTCTCACCGTATCAGCAGTCACGAGATTCAATCCAACCCCTCCAGCTCTCGTTGAAATAATAAAGACAAATGCTCCACAATCATCAGCTTCTGAATCTGAACTTCCTTTGGACAGTCTCTGGCCAAAACTTCTTATTGCAGCAAATCGTTCCTCTGCCCGAACAGAACCATCAAGGCGCTCATAGGAATATTTCCTCAGCTCCAGGTAATCCTGCAAGAGAATATCTTTTACAAGATTTTGAAGAAAAAAACAGCCAGCCATTAATAAGGAGGACCAGCAACTATTATACCTGCAATATATCAAGAGTTTGGGTCATCTGGGTAAAAATAAGAACACGATGTCCAGAAGCATGCAACTTCTGGAGTAGACAATCCAAAACAAGAAGCTTGCCACTACCCTACCAGAAACCAATATTATTGAACACAAGATGGTCAAAGAACAAAAGACTGAATGGGGGAAATGTAATATGCTCCTGTGTGTTTTTAGTATAGAATTTTTTTTAATGTTTGATGAAGTATAATATGAATATCCAAACTCCGTAAATCTCTGTTCCAGTTCACATAAACAAACAGTAATAACCTTACTACCATCAAGTGAAGATAACCTTACCTGAACCAGGTGCTCACCCTCTTCAAATGGTTCAGGTTCAATGCCAGGAAAAAGGTAAGGATGACTACAAGCCTTCCTTAGCTGTATTACCTGGAAGACAAGCAGATAACGCATTTTAGGGATAACATGGAGTCATGGACATAATTTGATAATACAAGAAAACATCAAAAGGTAGAACACTAGTACTTATGCAGGAAAATGCATGCCAGAAAGTGTCAATACATTTCCAGTGAGAGATGGAAATATCACAGTTGGTCATTCATGTGCACATGGAAACAGGCCACTTCTTGTTTATGCCAATCTCTAAGATGAAAATGAAACAAATAAGTCCATAAGAGAGATTTTGCTTTTTAATTATGGCTAAAGTGGTATTTAAAGCCATTGGTTGGTGCCTATCTACATGAAAATGAAAATGAAATTATTAAAGAGATTAATTGCAAGCAAAACATGATCAGTCACATATTAATGTGACTTCTTTATATTAATTTTCAAGTTCTCCTTTTCTGGGAGATGCATGGTCAAGTTCTCCAATCATTGGATCTCACAATGAATCAAATCAAAACAAAAGTTATTCAGTGGAGCACTTTTAAGCTCTAGAGAATAGTATGATCAATCAAATGTGAAGGTAGCTAAACTGAATTTGTTTTCTTACAATATTCTGTAATGACCTAGTTGAGCCTCCAGAAGAAAGAGCTAGCAACTGGGGTAGTTCCTTCCTCAATATTGACATATACACCCTTTTCTGCAGTTCCACCAAAGGTGCCATCCTATCAAATAAATTTTCACAATAAAAAGAAAGCCATCAGACAATATCATTCACAGTTTACATACAAGATAGCAACACCACCACTATAGCAAATGGAAATAAGAATGCATTGATTTACTTGTATATTCACTGGAGTGCATGGTGGTAGCCAGAATATAAGCCAAAATAGGACATTGGCATATTGCAATTACTCTGAGGAACTCACACTGTTATCTCCGTAAGAGAAGGCAGTACAAGAGTTCCAGATTCAACGAGTTGACTCTTAGTTCTTCTAAGCATAAAGGCCCCAAGTATATACTTCAGAATTTTGAGTTGTCCATTGGCTTTTCCTATATTGCAACCTTTAAGAATAACCACATAGTTGGAGTAAGGACAGATTGGTGTCACAATTGTTGCCAATGAAAATAAATTATATGACATAACACAAAAATGCACAAGAATGCAATCCCCGAGCAAACTTAAAAGTACAATTTGTATGAGATACATGCATGCACTGATGTCTTCCTCAGTCGCATGTACATCCGCAAGCGACACAATGTGGGTCCATCAGCCAAACCTAAAATCTAGGATAATTAATTAGAGTACTTTTCTGTTTCCAATTAAGATTTAGACAGATTTCTTATATTTAGTAAAAGAGGTAGCTTCGTCATGTTTTACAATTCTTGTTCTTTAAACATGATTGCTCTTGGTAATACAAAAGAAGTTAGTGTTGACATAAGATTCAAAAGGAAGTCTTTCTATAACCAACCCTCACTGCGTTATTCAAGCTTCCCTTCCTCTCAGCAGTTTTCCACCATACATAAGGACAAAGCTTTGACCTCTTCCCTGACCCACCCATAGTTTGTAAGGCATCGCCTAGGCAATAAGGCCCTGCCCCTTGGATGCCTAGTCTGCTCGCCTCGCCCTGAAAACCTTAAGGCGCTCGCCTAGGCGTCGCCTTACTCTCGCCTTGACGCCTTGGGCCCCTTTAAAATTTTGAAAAAGATTTGACTTAAACTTGTGACCTACGACATTATATATATATATATATATATATATATATATATATATATATATATATATATATATATATAGGACGCCTAGGCGATATGAAGGTGCATTGATGTGTCGCCTTGCCTTTCAAACTATGGACCCACCGCCCTATGGGCTACGACGCGTAGTCTAGGTCTTAACACACATCATCTTGTTCCCGTTGCCGGCCTCATGAGTACAAAGTTGCAAACTCCACCATGGATCGGGCTATCAAAGCTATAAAATTTTGTCAATTACTCAAATCATTGGAGCCCTATTCACCACCATGGCTTCTCTGCCAGCCACTTCCAATAGAAACTCTGCCGCACTCACCAATCTGAAAACATAATGAAGCAACTCCTCCTTCAGCATGGCAAACGACAACTGCTGGGTTATACCTCGGAAGTTGACATCCCTCGAGAAGGGTTCTCCCACACCTTCAATAACACAGCCACCTCCTACCTGATCCATAGGGATGCCAAATTGGAGTTTCCGTTACTCAAAGGCAAAGATCCCAATAATCCCATACCTTGGCTCGCACCGTGAATCCTACTTCCATAGCCCTAATACTCCGTGCATAGAGTGAGTGACAATTGCAGTGATTTGCAACACATCACATGCTTGGTGATGCTCAGTTTTAGTATCATTATGCGACTGAGGATATTGCCTTTTCGTTTTGGGGGTTTTCCTGCGACGAGTGCTGACAGAATTTTGGACCGATCAACTTGAAGTTCTGAACACATTATGGACAGTATAATATTTTCATTCATGTTTATTGTGAACAACTGATTATGTGGGTCTTTGTTAAGTTCTTTAACTAACTTATGCAAATAAGTGCTTGCCTAGTTGCATGTGCTTATATGAAAACAAAGAGATGAGGAAAAATCAATAAGGAAATGAGGAAAAAGAGAAAAAAGAAAAAAAGGCACACACACAATCTCCAAAAGGAGTCACGTGAACTTATGCACATTTCAAACAGTCCAATACTCAAAGATGCACTAGGAATAAATGTGAGCCTGATAAAAAAGTAGTCATGACAAGCAGTGTTATTAATTGTGGGTTATGGCTGATGCCCAATATTCCACCATACGGATATGAAGGTTGGACCCTATGACATTTCTGTGGTGGGTGGCATTTTATAAATTGTCTATGAACGCTTACACAAAAACCGCCACACCATTCTACCAACAACAACAACAACAACAACAGACCGAGTAAAATCTCACAAGTGTGGTCAGGGAAAGGCGTGCATGCATACCTTACCCATACTTGGTAGTAGAGAGGCTAAATTCAAAATACCCCCGGCTCAAACACAGGAGGATAGACAGAGAAACCATAGTAGTACAAACGAAATACGAGCATAGACAAAAGAAGCACACATACCGACTTTGCAGCTAAATCCAAAGAACAAAAAGTACACATGCTCAAGCTACAGACTAAGGCATAACCCCCCCCCCCCCCCCACACCCACACACACAAACCAAAAACTCTAATCGTAGTCCTGTTTAAACACGCCCTTCCAACTTTTCATAGATACTCTATCCCTTCTCACACCCATGCCATTCTACCATGACTGCTATTTATCAACATTTGTGAGGATCAGGAAGTGAGTGAAATATTATGCTGTCATAACATAAAAGGTTAATATTAAAGTTGTACATAGAGGATCTCCAGCTTCCTTGAATGCAGAGAGGAACTGCTCTAATGTCCCAAAAATTGAAGGCATACAGAAATGCATCAATGCCCAGAGTTCGGAAAGGTTGTTCTGTATAGGTGTGCCAGTCATCAGTAATTTCCTCGGCATCAAAAACCGCCCTTTGAGGACACTATACAAGACCTGTAAAAATTTTATTTCACAGTTGACACTGTGAGTCCTGTAACTACCATCCAAATAACAAATATGAAGTAATAATGATACTGTATAACAGTGTAAAATGTAGTTGCAGTAGGTTATTACATCTGCTCAGCAGTATTGTCTAATTATGCAATATATATTTTAAACAATGGAATTAAAATGCAAATCATTTTATTCGTTGCATCTAGAAATTCAGTTGGTAACCAAATAAATTGCTTGACAACCAGCCATACAGATTCTAGATTGAATACAGAGTGCTAAAAAAGTGGAAAGCTTAGAAACATACTCTCTGTGCGTTCTTTAGTCTCTGTGCTTCATCGATTATCGTATAATGCCATGGAATTTGAGAGAGAAATTCTTGATCAATCAATGATATGTCATAAGTTGTTAACAGAACGTCAAAAGCTAATGATGGCATCTTGGAAACCTGTGGTAAGAAGGAGCAAGGATTACAGCATAACAAGCAACACGTGTAGGATATGATAGCACGAGTAAGACTTGGGTTTAGCAGGTACAAATATCACAATATATCTCGCAATACACCAGTGGATTAAACTAGCAAGAAATAAGAAAAAAAATTACTCGTAACATACATCTTGGAGTGACTCTTTGGTAGCATGCTCATACATTTTCCTACGCATACTGCGGCGATGCTCTTTCTCCCCAACATAATTGATAACTTTCAGCTTTGGAGCAAAGTTTGTTAGCTCGGTCTTCCAACCATCAATCACACTAAGTGGGCACAATATCACTGCAAGACATTATGACAATACAATAACAATCCACAAAATGGAAGCTCCCAGTCCAATACTTTCATGTCGATTGCTTAGAAACTTTTACTCAGTACAAGCAATTGCAATGGTACTCACAAAATGGGCCGGGAGACCTACTTGCAACCTTTAAGTAGCTCAATAGAGATATTGCTTGGAGAGTCTTTCCCAACCCCATCTGCCAATTAACATTTCACACCCAAAGGAAACAAAATGGAACAAAAAATTCAATTTCAAAATAATACTATACATTTAATTCTAATTCTAATTCAAAATACTTCTTCAATTTCAAAAAACAATCAAATTATGCTTTCAGGGTAGCATTCACGATCATTGGAGACCATACCTCGTCCCCTGCAGAATGCAGATAGATCAACAGTGAAATTGCACAAATTAGGCCAATAAAAAGCTTGTGTAAATTTCAGTTGTTCAGTTTGTTCGCCTTACCGAGAATGACACTTACGCCTAGGCGATATCTCCGGATGAGCCAGGAGACTCCTTCAACTTGGTGAAGCTTGAGCGTCGCTTTTACTCCCAAGTCGGCGGAGCTGAGCGGCTGCGCGTCTGCAGAGGCTGAGTCGTCGGCGTAGGTGTACTTCGCCGCAGCTATGAGGCGCTGCTCGTAATTCATGCCGGTGGACGTGAGGCCTGTGGCTTTAATCTAGCCGTCGGAGTTAGAGGAACGGTTCAAAACTTTGGCCGGTGTTTTTACCTTTTCCGGCAACCGCCCAATAGAGTGGAGTGGCGGTTTCCAGTTACTACCCGGGAGTATTTTTGTAACTATGGCCCCCGAAATGAAAAGTGTTTGGGGACGAATGTTTTGATGTAGATACTCTTTATATTATATGGGTTAAAATGTAAAATAAGGTTTTACGGGATTTTTGTGTATGAAATTTTTATTATTTTTTTAATTTTGTATTATACTATATTGGCGAATATTTTTATAAAAAACTTTAGATCACATGAGGAGTGAGTGGATAAAATTCATTTATGAGAAAAATACGCAGTATTTTGAAACACATTATTTTTTAAAAGAGGAAAAACCAAAAAAGGTGCTTAAAGAAATAAATGAGGCAACTCGTAACTATGAAATGAGGCTTTTCAGATTTCAAATCGGCTAACACATCTCGAATGGAAATTGCAGCATTTTGCAAATATGGAGCATATATCTAGATAATTGGATCCTTTTTTATCTTCACCAAAGATATTTTTTAGGAATTCTTGCTTTTTCTCACCAAACATGCCTTAAAAAAATTGTCACCAAGTTCTCCTATTAAAAAACTTGGGAACAAAATTGGAAAAAAGATATTATGCATTATGTTGTATTTGTTTTTTTAGTCAAATAACCTAGCTAACTAAACTCAGAGTTCGGCTAGCTCACATCCATCATCTTCTTCACATCGCATCCACGATCGCTGTTGTAGATCTCAACGACGCGTCTTCATACACGATCAATGCAATCGCAGTTAAAGTTTCCTCTGCAATGCTCTCTTTGTTCTCCAATTGACGCAACTAGGATTTCCATTGACATGCTCCTTCATCCCCTGTCGAAGCATCTAGGGTTACCCATCATCATCTCTCTTTTTTCTCCATTGCGCACTGACTATACCAAAAAGTAGTCACATCTCGTTGTATCATATAAATTGCGACAAAATTATCACCGTGCTTGGGTGTCCAGTTTCTCAAGCTTTGTTGTTCCTCTTTTGATTTAATGTGGTTATCATTTCCTTCAAAAAAAAACTTAGGAACAACTTTTCGTATTAGGGTTAATACTTTGAATAAAGTTTAAATGATTTTAATTAATTTTAAAAATATAAAAACAAAATATTGTCGTTAAATATTTTTTTCTAACACTTTCAATGTCATACTGATCTAATCTCAAATTTAGTACACTTAAGTTTTAGTGTACTTAGTATACTCGAATGATTCGTTGTAGAGATCTTAAATTGATTAGTGTGTTATGCACTTAAACATTAAAAAAATGAATGATCAAACTAAGAGTAAGCTTGTGATATGATTTTTTTAATATAAAACATATCATATTAGTTATTGGATGTGAAGAGAATAGTATTTGGAGATTTTTTTGGTACAATGGAGATATTTAATTTCAAAATTAAATTTTAGTGATTTTGTGAGTGTGGCCGACACTGACTTGTGATCCATAATATTTATAAGGAGTTTGTTATGGACTATACCGAAAGATATCAAGCTTAAACAGTGTTTAATTTCTAACAAATACGTATATGTGTCTTTATCAAATACGGAGTAATATATTAATAGTACATTGTCTTTAACGTATATAGAAGTCCAAACTTTGTTTTTTTCGTGAGATCTAACTAAGTTGCTGTATATTAAAAAAACATTGATCATTCACTTTAGTTGAACGTATTATATGTTATTCTAACATGTGCATTATATGTTTATATGTATCAATGTATGATCTAGTGATTTTAAAATGTTGATTAAATACAATAAGATTTGAATGAGAGTGTTCGAAATAGAACAAACGAGATTTGGATGAAGAAAATTGAGAACAAAATATAAAAGAATTTTGATTGTTAGCATACAATGTAATTATTATTATTACTATTATTATTATTATTATTATTATTATTATTATTATTATTATTATTATTATTATTATTATTACTACTACCATTACTACTCCGTAGTCCGTATTACTTTTGAGAAAATATTATTACTATTATTGAGGGAATTGTTTTTATTACTCCCTCCGTCCTATAGGACGGAGGGAGTATTATTATTATTATTATTATTATTATTATTATTATTATGGGAGTATTTGTTAATTACTCCGTATTGATCCGAAAATAACAGTGAAAGAGCAGAAAAAGGTGCTTGCCTATCTTCTGCTTCCCAGGGAGGATTCTTATCAGAATCTTCGCAGGGGTTTTGCCCAAAAACCCTAACAATGGCTCAATCCTCCAGGTCATCTGCTACGCGGCTACTCTACTCAGTCTGTTCATCCGCCAAAACAGCTCCCTTGAATTCCCAATGCCCGGCAGCAACCCCGATTGCAGCTTTTCTTGGCGGCAACTTCCAGCTCAGCCGCCATTTCTCAGCCGGCAGCGCTGCCGCCACGCGACTTAAGGAAGAAAAGGAGGCCTTGTGGAGAGATTCACTGGAAAGGGTTCGGAATATTGGAATTTCGGCCCATATTGACTCCGGGAAGACCACGCTGACGGAGCGGGTGCTTTTTTACACCGGTCGTATCCATGAGATTCATGAGGTCAGAGGCAAAGATGGGGTTGGAGCTAAGATGGATTCCATGGATTTGGAAAGGGAAAAAGGGATTACAATTCAATCTGCGGCCACTTACTGTTCTTGGGATGGTTACCAGGTGAGAAAGTTAGCATCTTTGTCCAATTTATATGCAGTTAGCTTCATCATCTCAGCGATTTTAATTTTCACAAGATCATTATTAAGCTTGGCCAAAAATAGGAGTTCTGAAGATAACTGGATAGCTTTCCGAAGAATATTCCTTTATTGTCTATTTTTTTGAGTTTGTATGATCAATGCACTGGAATTTGACAAGAGGCAGTTGGATGATCAATGTGTCATTGAGGTTTTATTAGTACAACTACGGTCTAGGTGTAGTAATTTGGAGTTTAATGTCACACTCATTGCAAACTGCTATTTTGAGCTGCTGCGGAATCCCCTGAACAGTTGTTTACCTTGTAAGAATTTTCTGGGTAATTTTATTTCAGGTGAACATAATTGACACTCCTGGTCATGTTGATTTCACTATTGAAGTTGAGAGGGCTTTGCGTGTTCTTGATGGTGCAATTCTTGTACTATGTAGTGTTGGTGGTGTGCAGAGTCAATCAATAACTGTTGACAGGCAAATGAGAAGATATGAGGTTCCAAGACTTGCTTTTATCAATAAACTTGATCGAATGGGGGCAGACCCATGGAAAGTTCTAAATCAGGTTTGTCAGTTAGGACATTGCGAAAGAATTGTTTTCAATAGTTTATCATTTGTATTTTTTTGATCATTTTCATTGAAATACAGCTTAGAAAAAGTTATGTGTTCTCCAATGGATGTGAACTGAAAAATTAAAATTTGAAAATCCCATTTTGCATAAAAATGAAGGTGTAAAAAAGAATTGCATTATAAAATTTGCCATAGTGGGTCTTCCACAAAAGCCATAACGCTTGAATAATAACACCTTTTTACCATATAGGCAAGGTCCAAGCTTCGGCACCATGCGGCTGCAGTGCAAGTTCCAATTGGTTTAGAAGATGACTTCAATGGTCTTATTGACCTTGTGCGTATGAAAGCTTACTACTTCCATGGTCCCAGTGGGTCTGTCTCTCAATTTTATTTTGTAGACTATGCGTCTCTAAGCACAGAAGTGCTACTGTTTCCATGTTTCTTCTTAGCTTATTGATATAGATGTTGTACCTCTTTCAGCGAGGAAGTTCTCACAGAAGATATTCCTGCCGATATGCAAGCATTTGCTGCTGACAAGAGGCGTGAACTTGTTGAAGTTGTATCTGAGGTTGATGAAAAACTTGCAGAGTCATTTTTGAGTGATGAGCCAATATCAAATAATGACCTACAGGTGTGTGGATGATAATTATTCTGTCTATTTGAAAAAGCTTAATCAGTTCATATATTTGTGTCCAGCATTGGCTGGGGTCGTTTCTTTCCTCTTGGGATATTTTTTTACACTCAAAATGTTCTCTATCAAACATATGTCACTGATCTATAGCTTTCTTCAGAGTTATGGTTATACTTATTTTAATCTTATTGGCAATCACTGATAGCCTTTTAACACCTTTAAAAATGAAAAGCTAAATCACACCAATAAATTGCCAAGAGCAAAAAATCACTCCTTTTATCATACAACCATCCGAGAGACATTTAACATTATTATTTCTTGGTTAAAAATTGAATCATTTTTTCCGAGCATTGGGATTTGTTAGCTTAACTAACTTAGTAACTTTCTGTCACCATTTTTAGTTTATTGGTTTACTTTCTTTTATAATAGATTGCTGAATAGTCTTTCTCCTCTTCTATGTTCAGGAGGCAATCCGAAGAGCAACTGTAGCTCGCGATTTCGTTCCTGTATTTATGGGTAGTGCATTCAAGAATAAGGTTATCACTTGTTTGATATCCTTTGTGCTGGATTGTTGTCTTTTCTTCTCAGTGTTTGTCATATCTCATTGTATATCTCAGTGTTATATAATTTTGGAGAACACGATGGTTTATTCCTCATATAGTCATCTCATTCAGTTTAGAATTGTAAAGCTGCCAGGTTGTATTCTGCCTAAGACATGTGTTACCTCAGTACCATTTCAAGCACAAATAGATGACAGAATTTGATTCAAACTTTGGAAGGACTTTACTTTTTTTGAACCCCTTAAACACTAAATGAATCACATTTTCCTGAAGGCTTTTCTTGTCAGAAGTCATTCGACCATCGCAACATGGCATCCTGTAGGTTTCTTTTTTTACGAAGGGAAGTAGGGGACTAGGCGAGTATCCTGCTTCTTCTAGGCATTACGGAGTATTGTTAACTAAGCTGCACATTAGTTTTTTAGAAATATATGTTGCGTATATACCATTATTCAGGAAAAGCGACGTGTTTATTTTACATTTAATAGCTTTCATCATCTATTCCTTTAAATATTGAATTTGAAATTAGTTAATTTCTAAATATTAGAGCTTAGAGCATTTCTGGCATCATAATTGTATTGTGTCTTCTGCTGCTTACCAGGGTGTTCAACCTCTTTTGGATGGTGTTATTAATTATCTCCCTTGCCCGGTTGATGTCGACAACTTTGCACTTGATCAAAACAATAATGAAGAGAAGGTTCAATAGTTATCTTATTGAGTATCTTTTTGTCCATTTTTTAATTTCTTGACTCAATCCAGGAATTGAGCATCTATGGATCAACTGTTGGCAGGTTATGTTAACAGGAAGTCCAGCTGGCCCTCTTGTTGCCCTGGCTTTTAAATTGGAAGAAGGGCGATTTGGTCAGTTAACATATTTAAGGTATGTAACATGCCGTTTAAAAAAATCATAGTTATGATGTCTTCTAGGCTATGTGGTTTCTAAATATGAGCTTATTTTCAGTATGACTTTGTATTTTTTTAATTGTTCAATATAGCCATTTCACTTTAAGCTTAACATCAGATTTGGCAATTTGATTTTGCAATTATTTTCAATACGATCATTGTACTTAGTCATGCATCTTAGCTATAGACCCCAGTCTCCATAGTACTTCTATAATCTTTCCAAATAAGGCATTATAAGGTAGAGTTGAAGGAGGCATTTAGTGAGTACAAAACACACACCAGTGATCCCTTAAAAATATTTGTCATCTCATAAATACAGATATAATATAACCCATGCGCATTATTTCTTTTCCATGTCATCATCAATGTCTTGTGTAAATGTGGTTTTCTACAGTGTCCACCAACAACATCTATTGTCTTGTTTGGAATGAAATTGGAAGTATAAATAACTAAATTGCAAATTGAAAAGAACAATGGTCATACAAAAAGGGGATTAAACCAAAATGAGCAAATTGGGCATCAAGCCATTTATCCTGTTTCCTCTCCTTAACATCTGAGGAATCAATCTTTCTGTTTTTTGTGAAGAATTTATGAAGGTGTGATTAGGAAGGGTGATTTCATGATCAATGTGAATACTGGAAAGAAGATCAAGGTGAGTCCAGAGATTATCATAAAATGATTTATTGAATACTTGCAATTTTGGTTCATCTGCTTGTCAATAGTAGCAGCACTGTTTCTATTCAGTTTCTAGATTGTCCACTGAGTCTTCTAATTTTTATAGGTACCTCGATTGGTACGGATGCATTCTAATGAGATGGAGGTTTGTCACCGCCCATTACCATCTTAACTTTCAGAATGATTTCTATATTCATTTCAACAAATACACCAAGCATCAAACACTCTTCACTGAAACAGTTATACTCCGTACACATTACATGTAGATGGTTTCTTTCCCTTCTCCTTATTTCTGTTATTATTCCAATATAGGACATTCAAGAGGCACATGCTGGACAAATAGTTGCCGTATTTGGTGTAGATTGTGCAACAGGTACTAAAAAATATGACTCTTTTCTCCTTATAATTGAAAAAAATTAGGGCCTGTTTGGTTACATTTTTGTCTTTTTAAAATGTATCTTGTTTGGTTTGAACCATTTTTGTTTTCATTTTGCAAATGCCTGAAGTGTTTTCTAAGCACAAAAATGTATTTTAGGAAACAAAAAATGTATTTTCCTTCCATGCCGTTCTCCTAATACCCATGGCACTTCTCACTTCCGTGTCTCTCCCTTCTGGGCTCAAAGCTCCACCGTATGATCTGGTGCGAGGAGTGCTCACTGACCCAAAACCCTCATCCACAAACTGAATAACCCATCCTACTTTTCAGATTTGACTTATATTATGATTATGTTTCGTTGATGCTTCATCTTATTTGATTTCTGATGATGTGCTGCATGCCTGGAGAGGGCTAGGGTGGATTAGACTGACAAGTCATTGTGGAAGTGGCATTTGATTTCTGCAGGCGGTAGGGCTTGGGCAGTACCCATCCTATTGTTGGGTTTGGGCTGGTATTGTTTGTTTTAAAGTGGAAACACGTTACAAAACTAGAAGGAATATCTGGGAACAGTTTTTTATTTTCTAAAAAAAAAACAGCATCACTAAAGGGGCCCTTAGTTACTTTTTGCCAATTAGCCTATCCTTGTCTAATTATGATAAACAAGGGATATTGTTATTATCCTGATAATCTGATCTTCATATTTTGAATTGTTATCAGGGGATACTTTCACAGACGGATCCGTTAGATATACCATGACTTCTATGAATGTACCCGAACCAGTGATGTCGTTAGCAGTTTCACCTGTCTCTAAAGATTCTGGAGGACAAGTTAGTGGATAATCTACAAACATATGCTTCCAGTATGAATATACCAGGTTGCTTGTTCTTGTTAAAATCAAAAGAACACTGATATTGTAAACTTTGCTGACAGTTTTCAAAAGCTCTTAATCGCTTTCAGAAAGAGGACCCAACTTTCCGAGTAGGTTTAGATCCCGAGAGTGGCCAGGTATGGTTTCCCGCCTTTTCTGTGTGAAAATTTTACTATTTTCTTTTACATGAGTATCTTATCTTACATTTCAATGGCTTCATCATCAGACAATTATTTCTGGAATGGGTGAGCTGCATTTGGATATATATGTTGAGCGTATTCGAAGAGAATACAAGGTTGTCATCCAAGCATTGTTTTGTTTTGTCTCTTGACCATACTTCATAACCACTAATCTTTTTTTCATAACACTTGTTTAGGTTGAAGCGACAGTTGGAAAACCCCGAGTGAACTTTAGAGAGACTATCACTCAACGTGCTGAGTTTGATTATTTGCACAAGAAACAAAGTGGGGGACAGGGGCAATACGGTAGGGTAACTGGGTAAGTATGGGTTTCATATTTTATACAACGTTTCCTTTTTTATTCACTTGGCCAGTTTTTAATGATTTTACTCTACACTCACTTCCAAAGTGTTTTAAGAATATTATACGTGCTTAGAATTGGGTTCTTCTTTGATTAGTTGTGGTATTTTAGCCACCTCCTAAATCCACCATCAGATTGCGAGCTTGAGCCTCTAATTTCTATAAATATCTAAATGAATAAAATGAGTGAATTAATTTCTAAATTAAAGCCTATTTTTTATTCCCCCCAAATTGGTTTCCTTCCGCTAATTTTCCTCATTGTTTTTTGTGGCTTTCAAACTATCTTACATTCTCAGCAATGTTATCTTTATTTTTTTTATTTGACAGGTATGTGGAGCCACTTGAACCCGGATGCTCTTCCAAATTTGAGTTTGATAATATCATAGTAGGACAAGCTATACCCTCAAACTTTGTCCCAGCAATTGAGAAGGGCTTTAAGGAAGCTGCTAACTCGTAAGCTATTTTTTCTTTCAATAAGATAGCTGTATGCAATGCATGTTCTTTGGGATGATTGACGTGATTGTACAAATTTCTATAAAGAGAGGATTAATGTTACACATATCGTTGTGACTGCAATCTTACCCTGATTGTGGCAGGGGTTCGCTGATTGGTCACCCGGTCGAGAATATTCGCATAGTTTTGACAGATGGTGCTTCCCATGCCGTTGATTCGAGTGAACTTGCCTTTAAACTTGCAGCAATTTATGCCTTCAGACAGGTGCTGACTTCATCTTCATGATCTGGAGACTATTGTGTGTGTGTGTGTGTTTTAATTTTTGCATTTGCACTTATTTATTTAATTATTTGTCCACTTAAACAGAAGGGAAGGAAATGAAATGCTCCCTCCATCCATAAAATATATCGTTTGTTTTTCACGGAAGAGAAGAGAGATATTGTGAACCACTCATCTCTTTCCCTAATACAGAGTAAAAAGTTTACTAAATGGATTTATTATCATAAAAGGTCATTAGGGAAAAAAATATAAAAGCTACTAGTTCCCCCCCCCCTTATGTTGTCATAGAAAAATCTAGATACTTTTCAGCTTTTACTCCCTTTGTCCTATATCTTTCTTCTCATTTTCTATTTTGGATCGTCTTACATCTTTCTTCCCTTTCCTTAAATGGTAAAACTATTCATTATTGTTTTAACTAAAAGACTACTTCACCTTTAATTTGCACTGTTCACCTTTTTTACATCTTTATTCAATTTACTACCCCACCAATGACAATGAAAAGTCAAAACGAGAAGAAAGATATCGGATGGAGGGAATATTTTATTGGCCAAACAGACCTAATGACTTGTTTAGGAGCTCTAGGCGAGCTATAAACTTGTAGATAACCAAACATAAACGTTAACAGATTTTGACTTTGTATTCCAGTGTTATTCAGCAGCACGGCCTGTTATACTGGAACCTGTGATGCTCGTTGAAATAAAAGTACCATCAGAGTTTCAAGGCTCTGTCACTGGTGATATTAACAAGTGAGTTGCTAAAATGTTACTTTTCAGTATTTCGTGTTTCTGAAAACAGAAGTCATAATTTATTTTGCTGATAATTAATCCAGTTTTTATAATGTGATGACAGGAGGAAAGGTGTCATTGTTGGCAATGATCAGGAAGGAGACGATTCCGTAATTACTGCTCATGTATGTACTACTTTTTACTCAATGCACCTTAGCATTTTTAGTGTAGTTCAAGGAATTTGAAAGGGAAAAGAAAAGAAAATGAAGAGAAAAATAGGTTTTCTTGTTTGGTGAGAAAAGAAAAGTGGAAGGAAAAAAAATCGAAAGGCAAAGTATACTAAGAGGATGGAAAACCAAATTCCTCTCATTTTAGTGAAGAAATTGAGAGAAAATCATTTTCTTTTCTTTTCCTTCCAAATTCCTTGAACTAAGCATAGTGTTAGTGTAAATGTTCTGTAGTATTTAGTACCCCTTCATCCCTAACACAATGTTTGGTTCAAGGAATTAGGAAGGAAAAGAAAAGAAAACCGTTTTCTCTCATTTTTCTCTCCAAAATGAGAGGAATTTTGTTTTCCCTACTCTTAGTTCATTTTGTCTTTTCATTTTCTTTTCCTTCCACTTTTCTTTTCTTTTCCTCTCTAACCAAACAATAAAAATTGTTTTCCATATCATTTTCTTTTCTTTCCCTTTTAAAATTTCCTGAACCACACATAGTGTAAAGAACTTTGCACTTTCCATTTTGGGCATGCTAAAAAATCATATGTTTGGGTATTGAAATTTTTTTACGCATTCACAAACTAGGTCTTATATATTGAAATTTGTGCTCTTGCTTCAGGTTCCTCTCAATAATATGTTCGGTTACTCTACTTCTCTTCGGTCAATGACACAGGTGATCGATGCCTTCTTCATTTTTCTCTGTAATACCTTGAAATGAGAATAGATGGATTGGAAAAAAAGCTCAAAAGGATTGATAGTACTACTCATACCAACAATATGCATTTTTTTTAAAGACATCATCTCTTAAATAGAATTCAAAGTTAAGGGAGCAATTTTAGGATGAGTGATTCCCTTGGGAAGTTTCCTAGTCACACACACAAGTGAAGGCAAAATGTGTGGCAAAGATTTGCGTATTTGTGTTGGTTTGTGGGGCCCGTTAGACACTTTCGGCCAGGGTGGGGGCCGGGGTGTTACATTTTCCCTTTAAAAAAGACAAGGGGAGGGTAAAATTCTGAATGTCATTCCATCACGTGTATGAGCCGGAGTCTCTTCGAAACAACCTCCCNGAAGGTGCTTATACACCCTCCCCATGTCCTACTTTTGTGCGGTTTTACTGGGTTTGTCCCCATTGCTGTATAATGACGTGTTTGGTTGCCGAATAAAACATTATGATTTTCGTTTTGGCATTGCAGGGGAAAGGGGAGTTCACGATGGAGTACAAAGAACATGCATCGGTATCTCACGACGTCCAAACACAACTGGTTAACAAGTACAAGGCGACCAAGGAAACATCTGAATAGGTCTTTCTTTGTTTGATAAATAAAAAAATCAATCATATTTTATGTTGCTGTAGCAAAACCTGTGGGTGTTGTTTTCTGGTAGACCAAAATGTGGTCAATGAGTTTTGATAAACACGACCCCAACATTTAGGTGTAATGAGATCATATGAATAAACCGTTCTTTAAAGTTTTTTCAGTCCATAGAAAAAAGATGTATGCAAACAATGAGACACATCACAAAATTGAATGTAGATGAAATTCTTTGAATATTCTTGGAGCTTTTATGAGATTTTATCTTCTTATCTAAAGTATAATTTATTAAAGAATCCAACGTTTGAAATCTATTTTTTTTCATGCATTAGTTTTTTTCCTTTCAAAGGCATTTATACCTAAAGTCATAAACAACATTAGGCTTTCGAGTATTATCTTGAGAGGAAAACAATTGGGGCAGGAAAAATAATGTGTAGGGAGTAATTCTATTTTGCTAAGAATATACAGTATTTATTTGGTGTATGTTTAGCATGAGTTCCTATATCATACTTCGTACATCTGAACTTATGGTGTTTTTCGTATACCGGTGCAAGAATTTATTTTTGGGTATTTGAATGTTCATTTCACATATTTATATTAGTATATATTCAAAATATGCATATTGCGAAGTCTATGCATGCTGATTTAAAAACTACACAATGTCCTTTATGTTTCTGCACATTTACGAATAAAACCATGCTATTTCATTTAAAATAAAAATGAATGTACAACTAAAATAAAAATATGTGAATTAAGTAGTTAGTTCCTCGTAAATGAATATTCGTTGTGAATATTAGAAAACTACTCTACATCCCCAGTTCTATCATATACAATTGTCGTCTAGCATCATCATTAGAATTTGGTTTAATGCTTTGGAAAAAAAATGTTCAAGAATCACCTCTATGTTTTATAATTTTTGGCTAGTTTGACCAGATTTGGCTGCTTCGGCTGACTTACCAACCACCATGAGTGCTTGCTAGTTGGTAGCACAAGCTAACACCTAACTCCTTATTTTTTTTAAAAAAGCTGGCAATTAACTCTTGATTGCCAAACAAGACTTTAGACGCCCGCAGCTCAACTGCTCCAAGGAGAGGATGTCAAGTCTCATAAGATTGAATTCCGGCAGTGGCAGTGTAGGAATTCTATAATTTGTAATAACTCTTTGTGCGCATTGGACAGGAAGCGGCCTCTCTCAGAATCGAATTGAGATTATACCATGATTTACTCCGCACAATCCTGTCGGGCTGGGGTATGGGATGCCCGGTGGGCATTCCACCAAACAAGGCTTTAAACTATTTGACAAAAATATATTTGGGGGCATCCGGACACGTGCCCCCACCCTACTAAATCCACCATTGCATGTCCTTGTTACAACTATACGCATGTGAAAGTTGCGTCCATTATATTTATGTAAAATTGAAAGGAAAAAAACTTGAATTGCATATTCTGTGAGAAATAACGAGACAATATTTAGGGAACGACAAAATGAAAAACAAAACATCATTTTGAGATAGGGGAGTGTGATAAAACAATCATTTTGTTTTAATATTCTGAGAGCTGACAAAAACAGATGAATTGCGTTTATTATCGAGTAAAAGCAAGAAAGTGTTGTAATCAATCGAGAACACCAACAGGGCAAAATTCAATCCAAACCAATGCCGCTGAGTATGCCTTCCTCTATATTCTCCTAGCTAACAAGGAAGGGGGGAGTACCATTTTCGGGATAGATCACTGGAATGGTTCTCGTTGTTGCGTGGGTAGATCCAGTTCAGGTTCCGATGCTGAGAGTGGAGAAAAATACTGCTCTACCATGTCATCGGATACGTGGCTTAAGCTTGGAGGGTCCCACTGCACGGTTTTGGAAATGCAAAAAGAGTTAAAAACATATAGGTGGTTTTGATTTGCATTTAGATGTGTTCTGATTTTAGAATAAGGTGATTCTAAGAAACACCAGAATAATATGTAGTAATAATCATGGGAGGGTGATTTCCATTTTCCCAAATCAGGTGTAGCGGTAACTAATTTCTGAAAGAATCATGGAGGGTGATTTCCAAAATCTCATTTGGAAAAGCGGTATCACATTTCTCATTTCGACTAAAATAAAAACCAAATTGATAGAAAGAGTGATTGTTGGCAATTGTTATCCAAGCTAAAATACCCATATACTTCATCTGTTCCAAAATAAACACAACATTAGAATATTCATGTTTGCCAATGCACAAATTAAAACATTAAATCCTCCAATTGTGTTTTAGTAAAAAAAATCATTTTATGAAAACTCTTGTCGAGACAAATCTAACAAGATTCCACGTGACTATGTATACTTTTACTGCTGTATTAGATCATAAAAGACGATCATATGGGAATGCGTGCATTGTGTAAAATTTTTACCATTGCAATTACTTTGGAACGGAAGAAGTATCTAGTAATAAGAAGAGGACAGTACTTTTAATTAGGGGTTATAATGTGAAAACACGGCAAAGGAAATGAAATTGGATATGGGTAAGAGCTGTCTCAAAACTGGTTCTTACCTTCGGCATGAAGTCTTTATCCACCAATCGTGCACGAATCCCCTGATAGGAAGAAGCCACACATATCAAATAGTGAAACGAAAATGTGGTACTACGTGTCTACACTACAAATTGTATCTGGTACGGGTTTTTTCTACCCCTACCTGAGGTCCCAAGCACGTATGTACCCGAATACAACAACAACCTAGTAAAATCCCAACTCCATTGGGGTTTAGGGGGTCAAGATGTACACAGTCTTACCCTGTATAGAGAGACTGTTTTTGTTAGACCCTAGATGCATTGCAGCATTCACTGCCCAAAACATTAAAAAGAAATAAGCAAAGGAGGTTTAGTGTTCCAATTTTATTTAGTCCATTACGTGTCTGAAACTAAACGGTGTCAATAACGACTCTTTTAGCTCCATTGGCAATGGACGCTGTGCCAGAATACTAGCTACTCAAATCCATCCCATTAGGCTTCAGGCAAGTTGGGTACTATGAAAGGTGTTTGCCATTGTTTTCACCTCAGCTTTTGGCTTCCGCGTAGGACTGATCAAAGTGAGGGTCGGGTCGGGCCGGGCTTGCATTTCATGTTAATAAAGATTTGTCATGGGCCCAGGCCCTAGCCTTAATTTTATACGGGTTACCCGGCCTTTGACTCGGACCTACAAGTACAGTGGAATGTTTTTTACTTTTACCGCAATTGTTTTTGGGTTGATTAGCAAACACAAATTTTTAAGGTTAATAAATGAACAAGACTCATTTTTACATGCATGTTTTAAAACAATGTTTTTGTAAAACAGGTGCACAGTGTCATATGAGTTCGAGTGTTTACAGGCCACTACGGTGCCTCTTTGGACTTAGGATCGGGGTGGTGGGGAAGGGGTCAGGTGGAGTGTGTTACCCAAGGGGGGTGCCTTGTTGCCGTTTTTGTAAAACAGGTGCACAGTGTCATATGAGTTTGAGTGTTTACAGGCCACTATGGTGCCTCTTTGGACGTAGGATCGGGGTGGTGGGGAAGGGGTCAGGTGGAGTATGTTACCCAAGGGGGTTGCCTTGTTGCCGTTTTTGAACAGAGGGCTAAGGGAGATGCATCATAATTTAGAGAGGAGGGTGGGGCATGGAGTAGGGTGGGGGTGGGTGGGATAGACGCTGGAGAGGGTAGACTGTATGGAAGATGATCCAAGGTCCAAAGCAGCACGGGAGGGGTGGGAAAACACCCTGGTGTCATTAAATGACACTAAACACTAACTCACAAGAACCCTACCGATTATAAAAATGTGAAAGCATGTGGTAAAAGTGTATACAAATTGTGAGAGGAGTTGTGTTAGCGGAGGAGTGACTAATAGACTAATAGTATATATATAGTCAGGGTTAGGACAGTCAGGGCTTGAGGGTATGAGTTTAAGGTCTTGAAATCTTGTCCGAGCTCTACCCTTATATAATCTGGGTACCCTGGCTTTGAGGGGTGGGCTGGACCCTCAATCAAAAAATGGCATTGCCCTCAAAATTCCTGGGTCGGGCAGACAGACTGGGCAGATCCTCACCCCATTGATCCGGCTTATGAGATATGTGGTTTGCAAGAGGATGGCTGGCGTGTTTGCGGTTACATAAATATTAATTCCAACCTTTTCCCACCCTAATTTACTTCTTCAAACAATGTTCTGTATAAGCTAGAATCTAGACCTTTTCTCGAACAGCTGTATGCACTTAGCTTATCTTGACCGGTGATTCGAATAACCAATGATAAACACCCCCTATGTTTTATTGCAATAAATGTGACAGGAGTGGTACCGGGTAAAACTTGGTCACTAAATTTTAATGGAAGAATTCACGGAATCACAGGGTTACCAAATTTTAGACAAACAGTATATATTTGATGCCAACAAAACCCCCGAATATGTTATAGTAGTACTTGTTATACCTCAGAGAAATCACGAGAAATTTGCCCAGAGATCCCTTGCAAGCTCATGCGATACTCGCGAGTTAAGCACTGGTCAAAAGTTTGAAATCTACCTTCACGTATCTGGCCATGCATCACATAGAGATATTCAGAATACAGTTTGATAAGCTTGACGAAATATAAAGCTAGCATTTGAAAGCACTTACAGATCTCAAAGCAACTTTCAAACTCAATGGTGAGGCATCTTTTAGTTTCTTTAACGTTGAAACACACCAATCGTCATTTGTGCTACCCGCCTCTCTTTCCTGAAAAAGTAATTAAGAGCATTTATGGCATGTTTGGTAAATGTTATTTGGCTGAATTTTTGGAAAGGAAAAACACTTGGTAAAATGCATGTCAACCATAAACAGAATATGGCAGATAACGCTACCAAGCAGATCCTTATGGATGTGAAACTTCTACCGTGTAAAAAGTTTCTAAAAACTTGTTGAAATGTGAGGTTGGTGAAGAAAACAACTCTTGTTTTAAATTTCAATGACCAGAAATGATTTTTAATAGAACTTTAAGTTTTTTTTTATTTTTGAAGTGTAGGTTACATACATACGTGGTATAAAACAAAACAAAAAAGTAAATAGAAAAGTGGCATTCACTCACCAAAGCATCAAAAATTTCCTCTACAGTGTCATGGCTGAAACATTTATCAAGTGTTTTCATCCTAATCAAATGAGCGAACTAGTCATGAGACTCACTGTGACAACAGAACCAACAAATTATGAAGAGAGACTTAAATATGCCGCCTGCATGCTTATGAGTAGCAGCCACGATAGTTAATTTAATTTGAAACATTTTCCAGTAAATACGAAGATAAAATACCTGTGAACTACACTTGTTTGATGTGGGTGAGCAATATCTGCATATTTAGACAAGGAACTGTCGACTACAGTAGGATCATCAGTCTCTAACTTTTGAAGATGTTCCTCTATTAAATGAAGTCTCTGTAATTCAAAAGGAATAAAATTGTTAATTAACCAAAAAAGAAATAAGTAATGCACATAGTGATTTATTTAAAAGACTCGCCTCAAAAACATAGTAGTGGGTAGCAAGCCCACATGCCATCATTTCCTCTCCAGTGATCTTGTCTCCTGTTAAGGCCAGGTACTCCCCTGCAAATATAGTTTGCATCCATTTGAAGACATACAGACCTTGTCACTATTGAAGCAAAGTGATGGCATTGATAAGGGGAGCCTTGCTGAGGTTTTGCCAAGGGACCTTGAGGTCATGGGTTCAAGTCTTGAAAGCAACCTCTTGCAAAATTACAAGGTAATGTTTGCCTTAGTCACACCCTTATGGGTGGGACCCTTCCCAGACCCTCACTAAGTGAAGATGCTTTATGCACCTGGACCTGATGTCATGGATAACATTAAATGCATCTTTGATGACATGCAAATGTCTTTTACATAAGAATTAGCTTTCTTTTATGGCCAAAATGTGAATCAGTGAGCCCAATGCCTAGAGATATCAATCACTAGATCTATATGCTTGCCTTTTCAATAAAGTGTAATTGTAGATACCCTGTATCTTGGATTGGACTAGACCAATCTACATCCGATGCGAGTGTGTGTGTGTTTCTCATATACATGTGTCTAGTCAAATACAAATAAATCTTATTCTTTCTTCATTCATTTAGGATCCGTTTGGAACTCAGAAAATGGTAGAAAAAAGAAAAATATGGGACGGAAATTTAGAAGAAAAAGTAAATGCGGGGGAAATAAAACATTGGTGTAAACTCAAAAATTGTTTTTATTTTCATTCACACTCATTTTACTAATTTATTTTAATTAAGGTGTAATACACCGGCAAGAAATTTAAATTTATGCATATGTTTTAAAATAAATCATATTTCTTTTTCCTCTTAATTTTCCAAGGTAAAACCAAACACAAGAAAATAATTTTCCATAATCTCCTATCATTTAATTCAAATACACCCTTAACCTTTTTCTATTTGCAGGTAGAAATCCTGTACAAAGTACAAATATATTACAAAAAATGTAAAATGCATAAACCATCAGCACAAACAAAATGTTTGACACAAGAATTACCTAAACAACCAGGGAGGTGTGACAGGTGAAACGAGGCCCCGGCATCTGGATGAAAACCAATTAAAGTCTCGGGGGTGGCAAAAACCTGCAATAGTTATGACTTCTGTCACATTTTGCACAGTACAAGTGGAAGGATCAAGGATGTCTATTGGAACTTGATACTAATCAGCACAAATTATTACTCCTCTGTCCCATAAAAAGGTTTCACCTTTGAATTGGCACGGAGAATAAGGAAAGTGAAATTGTGTGGTTAAAAGTGATGCAGAAGAGAGAAATTATAAGGGCTACATTCTTTTCCGAAAGTGTTAAATGGAACTTTTTTTTGGACAGACAAAATAGAAAATATGGAACAATTTTATGAGACGAACTGCGGACGGAGTACAACATAGTTCATTGGTTTTCTTATACACCAGCATGAACCAAGAGTGAAATATCAAAACTTTTACAGAGTAATTTAGGTAGAGAGAAAATGAATAAGATGTCAATTCCATACAGTTTTATTTGTTGCAACCCGGAATGTTCCGGGGATGGAAACACCGGCCCCACCACCCATGGTAATCCCATTTAGAAGAGCTACCTGTATATTAAGAAGATGAAACATTATATGTACACTGTAAAAAGAACCAAAGAGTGCAAAAGAGAGAAAAGCTAGAACCCAAAAAGATGCTACAGAGGAACCACACTTACATGGGGTTTTAAGTATGTGCCAAGAATGTACATAAATGTGTACAGTGACCTAAAGAATTCTTTAGAATCTTCAAGGTTACCTGTAACAATTCAACATAAGTAATATGAAATATGTATCTGCAAGACCAAAAACAAAATGTGGAAACACCAAATGGAAAATGCATCTAAACTAAAGGAAGCATGCTCTATCACTAATTAGCTAAACCATCAAATAGCTTCTACAGAAAGAGATTAATCACATGACAATAAGTTAGGAAACTTTTTCTTTTATCATGGTATATAAAAAGTAAATGAAATAAAACCAAGCTTAAAAGAACAATGAAACAATAACAATTAAAGAGAATGTACCTTGTTTTATCAGCTTATACAGTGAGACTATATCACCTCCAGCGCTAAATGCCCTGCCTTTGCCCTTCAAATGTAAAAAAACATAATATTCTATTGTTATTTTAGATGCATTTTGTACATTCAATATAATGGCAACATATGCACATTCATATACTCTGTGTGTCATACTTGATGAGTAAACCTTTTTTTAAAAAAAAAAGCAAGTTCTTTGATACTGACATTAAGATACTCCCATAACAATGTGCATACATGTGTGCATTAAGAACACTTTATCTTCTTCCGGGTACACCCCCGATCATTCACAAACTAGAAGAATTTGTAAAAATATATGAATAAACCTAAAAACATTCAACCAACGGTCAATACCTTCATCATCACAAACCCAATATCTGGGTTTTCTTCCCAGTTCATGTAAAGCTTCTGTAACCTGTGCCCCTGCACCCCAAAAAAAAAAAAACTAACCATCATCAGAGCAACAAAAATGTCATCCCTCGCCTCATAAACAAATCTCTATCACTTCCTTCCTATATACTGTGATTCCCATTTCTATTGGTCGAAGAGCAAGCAATGTGATACAAGGAAGAAAGCATACCATGGCAGAGTCAAGAGCATTGAGCACACTGGGCCTGTTAAGAATTGCAGTTCTGGAACAAGCATTTCCTTCTACCAGCACCTGAAATCAAAAGGGTGAGCGGCGTCTAACAGAAGCAGTACATCTGGAGAAAGCGGAGAGAAAGAGAGGACGAAAGGGAACTGACGAAATCGTTTTGGGGATCATCGTCGTTGGGGAGAGGGTCTAGGGTTCTTGTTTGGTGAGAACTGAAGCGGCGACGGCCGCCGAGGAAACGCCGGAAGACCGAGTCTGATTTCAGCCGCAGCATAATTTGGATTCCTGCCTCCTCTCCGTCTCTCTATATCAATCCCAAATGGAAAGTTTAAAGCCATCGCCCCCTTCAAGACAGAGGTCTGGTTTTTATTTTAATGACTCCCTCCCAAAATTAGTACTGTACTTACTACTTACCTACGCCGCCCCCTACTCCTAGAAGAACAAAAAACGTGGATGGCGCCCCCAAATTTACGAGTTCTTACTCGTAAATTTGGAAGAGATCAGTATATATAGTTGGTGTCATATCTCATATCTAGTTCAATAGTTGATCATTTCGTGCCACCAACTATGTTATCGGTCACCCACCCAACTTTGGAGAATAATCAATCGAAACCTGGCAGCGACGGGGGCGACCATCTTTAAAAAATAGGGAGAGTCTCTGGTGCGCACTAGGATATGGTCTAGCTAAGTGTTATGCTTGGGTCACTGTGATTTACCTCCTCTTACATTCCCGTCGGGTTGGGGGTGGGCCGCCCGGTGTGAGTGATTTCACCTTTTGGAGAATAAATCATTTCTCCTAAATTTCAGACATCATATCTTATTATACATGGAAATTTTCACTATACCAACTTATTTTTTGAAAAGTTCTCATATGTGCGGTGCATATGAAGAGTTAGGCTCCGTTTGGTATCAATGTTAGAGATTAACGTTAGTGTTTTGAAAAAGGTTATCTAACGATAGCATTTAGTGTTAGTGTTTTCAAAGTAAATATACACCATTAAATATTACCTTTGTAGTTCTTCTATGAGCACCTTTCCACAATAATTCTTTTTTTGATCTTCGGTCATGATGGTGTTAATTTAGAAGCTAAAAATGTAATTTGAAAATTCCAATGGCCGCTCATGATGCGTCTTTTGTGAATCGCAGTCGCTGTCTACTACAACCATAGTTTACAAATGTGATCTTTCAACGTTATCTTAGTCAAAACTCATAGTCATTATTATTGTATTTTCTGTGTGACTGACATTAGAACATAACACTTGACATAAAGTTGATGTAAAAAAAATTATATTTTTAGCCTTCAAATTAAAAACAATATAACAGAATGTAGAAAAAGACTATTTGTGAAAACGTACCCATAAAAAAGAACCACTAGCAAAGTATTTGATAATAGATGATTACAGATTAGAAACTGCTTGTTATAAAGGACTAATTATGTAATTTATTCAATACAGTATCATAGAAACGACTAATGCATGCAACATATTTTATGTGATACCGTCACTATTGTTTATTTGAAAATTATTATTGACATGCGATGAAGAATAATAAAAATATGTTCATTTGAATAAATATTCTAATAATCTGTTATTGTTATCATCAAAATAATTATTAGTATTATTATTATTGTTGGTGTGGTAGTAGTAGTAGTTATTGTTATTATTACTATACATATTATTATTGTGTTTATAATTAGGATATTAATATTATAATACATTCGACAAATACATGTTAAATATTTCTTTTATCAATACGTAAATTCTGATATACAGAGTATGATAGAATTTGTTCAATTATTTAACAAAATTTAATAATATTAGAAAAAAATATTTTCATTACGTATGAAAAGGGAAAAAATAGATTTGTCTCTTACTTAAAACAAACGCGGGTAACATATAAAGTGCATTTATGAACATATTATTTTATAATTAATGCTGCTTAAATAAATATAATTGAGGTGAAACCGCTAAATAAATTTTTAAAATTTAACATTTAAATATTTATGCTAACTTTATAGTAATAATTATTTTTTTTCAAAAATAGCAAATGTTTTTTGTATAAATTATGACATTACTTTTTTTCATATAGGCATTGATTAGGATAACGATGATAATGAGTTTAATAATAATAATCATAATATTAAAATAATAATAATAAAATAATAAAAAAAATATTGGTGATACTAATAATAAAAATAATAACACCAACAATAACAATTAGATTAAGAATAGTATGAAAAAACACTTAAGTAATTTTGTAGAATTCCTTCTTTTTTTAATGTTGTTTCCATCTTTTAAAATAGTTTTTTCTAATTTGTTTCAATTTTTTTTAGTTCCTCCAAGTTTCTTTAATTTTTTCCAACATCTAAGTTTTTTTCTTACCCAATAAAATACACTCTCTATCTTGAGACTATCCAAACAAGAATTTTTTGGGTCAGATTAGTTATATTTTTAGAAAACTTTATAGACTTGTACTACTTTTTATGAAAGTATTTTTACATAGAATTTATGTAATTTTATTTTTATGGTATAATAATTTCTTTATATAAAGTGCATTAATGGACAAAGTTTAATCAATGTAGTAAAAAAAATATCAAAACTTGACAATGTGCGGAGTATTTTACTAGTTTAATTTCAAAATTTCAAACTTTGACATTAATTTTACCGTTTAGTTTTAACACTTAACGTTTGTCTTTTTAAGATTTGTTAACATCGTTTAAAGAATATCTAAAACATTAGCGTTAATAACAAATAATATTCTCAAACGAAGGCTTAGTATCCTCTTACTACCTCAAAAAAATATAATGAGAGTTTACCATGTTTGAAACAAAAAAAAAATTGAATTTGTAATTTGGAAGAATTCTTCAAATTCATTAAATCGTTCTAAAGTTCAATTAGAGATCCACACTCTCTCTTATAGTTTAGAATCCAAAATTTAATTTTGAAAATAAAATTTAAGAATTCATCAAATGCTTTTTTTGCTTTGAAACATACTTCACGTACTATTTATTGGAATCTAAGAGATGTTTGGGAGTATATTAGAAAATAATTTATAACTTTTACTTTTTTAAAATATGTTTAAAGTGTTCAGCAAACTGCTTTTGCTTATTAATTATATATAGTTTTAGAAGTAATTTTCAACAAAGCTAAGATTAACTCTTTAATTATACACCACACTTTCAAATACACTCTCAATACCCATAATTTCATGTTTCAATGTAAAGATTTGAAAATGAAACAATTTGCGGAAAATGAGATCTAGCTCTATATCCCCACGCCTATTTTTTTCTTCATTGAGTTCATTGGACATTTTTAAATATATTTTTTTCCTAATTTTTTGAAACTCGAGAAAATCAGTTATTAAGAGGGTGTTTGGAGGTGTTTTAAGTCGAAGGGAAAAACATATATTTTTAACTTTGCTAAAAAACACTTTTGAAGCCCATTTTAGAGTGCAGAAGTTATAATTTATAAGCAGAAGCAGATTGACTAACACGATAAACATTATTTTAGTGAAACAAAAGCTCATAATCAATTTTTAAATGCAACCCCAAATACCCTCTAAATATTTCTTAGTCTCTCCCAAAGTATTTTACTCATTATACTCGTGAAGTTGAAAAAAAGTTTACTCCCTAAAATTGATTTAGAGTTTGACTGTTCACCAAAAAATATTCCGAAGGGGTAAAAAATTGGGGCATATATAGGCAAGTAGCACGGGCTAAATAAAAAATTTTAACGTTGAAAAAAGGAAAATGGGTAAAAAAAATTAGGGCAAATAAAGTACCTATTTGGCAACAAAAGAATATTTTTTTTGAAAGTTTCAAAAATGATTTCTCACTTATTTTATTTCTTACTCGGTAATTAGTACGGGACATATGTTTAATAAAGTTTCAGTCTCATCTAAAGAAATTTTAACCACACACTTTTTATATATTTCTACTATGTATATTTTTCTGGAATCCCGCAAAAATATACAACAGAATAACAGGTAAAATTTGTTGGGTCAGATAAAGGGAAAGCACCCATCAAGAGTGCGTCTGGACAACGTTTAGCTGTATCATTTTCAAAGGTAATTTACACTATTAAAATTTTATATAAAGCGATACGTTAATCGAAAACGATGTTTCCAAACAAATACCGTATTTCAAAAATTAACAAACACTCCAATGAACTCATCAAAGGAGAAAAATTAGGGGTGCAGATTGAGATCTAGATTTCATTGTCGGCGAATTGTTTCATTATCAAATGTTTTCATTGACTTCCCCCTTTTAAAAAATGTTTTCGTTGACTATCATTTATTGAAACATGCAATTAACGACATTTAGATTCTAGTATTCGAAATTAAAAATTTATTTGGATTTTGAAATTTGTACTAAATAGTATTAAAACATATGTCTTTTCCCGATGTAGTAGCTAAACTTTTATATTTCTTAAATAGTACTTGAATAATGTCTAGTGGTGGGAACAATATTCAGTAATATTGTACATTTAGTTTGAACATTAGTGACAATAAACATTTACTTGAACAATGACCAACAGACATTGAACAGTGATACTACATTAGAAAATAAAAATATATAATACTACGTTGGAAAAGTCACTATATTTTAGTACTACTAGGTATATATTTTACTTCTTGAATTTATATTTTAAAAATTAAATTTTGAATTTTAAATTATACTTCAATTCGTAAAAGAGAGTATAGATTTATAATTGAACTTTGTTGAGATTAGAGGAATTTTTCCGAAATTCAAATTCAAATTTTGTATATTTTCAAGCATTTAATTTGGGTTAAATTTTAACTTGAAATCTAAATTTAAATCTCCAAAACATGCAATAGAATAATTCTGAAATTTATTTGATTGGTTTATATATCGTGAATCAACTAAAACGAATTCAGATCACAACAACCATAAAAACAAAACAAAAAAATTGAAATAAATTTGGGGTAGCCTAAAAGGAATTCACAGCTAAATTGATTTGGATTTGCCCTTTTTCTTCATTTTGGTAAAGAATTTTGTAAACGAGAACAATTTTTTTTGTATATTGTCTTTAAATAGTATTGATATACATTTTTTTCTCATATATTCTTCTTGTGTTTGTTATCTCATTTTTTTCGATGTTCTTAATTATTTCCGATATCTTATGCTCTTAAAATCATAGTAATAATCAATTTTGGCAAATTTATAAACACACTAGTAAAGATGCTTTTATTTTGGAAGAAGGGATGGATTATGGATACATGATTTTGCACGTAATTCATAGCGTATGAGTTTGGTCTTTGCTTTCCTATATACTTGTATGCATGAATATATATATATATATATATATATATATATATATATATATATATATAGATATATATATATATATATATATAAACATGTCTTTATTTTATTGAGTTTATTCATTCTTTTCTAAGAATAAATAATTCATTTTTACTTTTTTCTTTTTAAAATAAAAAAGTTGCTTTCACATTTTTTACCTATGTGCAGCTGCATTTTAGCTGTTACTAAATTTCTTGGTTTAAGTGTTAATTTATTTTTTTTATTTAATATACATATACAAATTGTTGTATGGATATACCCATGGAGTATTTAGGGCCAATAGTGGAAGAGCATGCGATTTTGTTGGGCTGTGCTTTTTTTTTTGTCATGGAAGATTTTCTCAAACAGTTTGGGCTTCTTGAAAACATTTGAGAAGGAGCCTTTCACTATTCTTGTTACTGCTGCTGCAGGCAAGAATATAATGTTCTCTCATACAAAAAAAATTTCTTTCGCAGTTTGATTTTTAAGGAATTTAGAAAAATGTGAACAAATTTCTTAGCCACAAATTATTTACTCCAAAATGAAATGAAACTTCTTTTAGGGTCAGATGAAAAACGACATTTAAAAGACTTTAATGAGACCACATACGCGCAAACAAAATTCTGATTATGTTACATTTAAGAAAAAAAGAAATATATCCCAATAAAATAAGGCTTCGTTTGTTGCACGGAATTCTGCTGTTATATTTTTCAGCAATACAGAAATTTATAAAAATCATTTTAAGTATGTGGTGGGGGGATTAGCACCATAAGCAAGCATTCCTTTTTTTGGGGGTATCACATGCATAAAGATTCATGCATGTGTGATGTGTAATAAAAAGGGACCACATTTGATAATTGTTCACATCACATTTGTTATCTAATCACTTCTAAACTCACATATTTTAAAACTTTCATAACTTTAAGATGAACTTTTTTTGTAAATTATTCGAACCATTTTTGAAATTGACATACATTTAAAATTTGTATTTTTAGTGACCAATTTTTCCATTTTCTTTTTAATAAAAAAATACTCTCATTATAAACATGCAAAACTTTCTCCCTACTAATTTATAAAATAAAATCTCACTTAACCGGCAAATTATATGGTACATCCAGCTGTACCTTTCTTTAGGTAGATATTTTTGTAAATTTTGCAAACTTTTTATCCAATGTCCAGAACATATATAAGAACTATTATATATGACAATGAATACCAGCAGATTTGAGAACGAGTACCAGCACTTATGAGAATTATCATATTCTTATTCAATACAAACATGATGGTAATGAACTTTTTAATTGTGAAAAAATTAAACAATACTTTGTTTCAGAACGAACTTTTCCTTATTTGAGAATAAATATTGTTTTTTTAAGAATGAACACTACACTATTTATTATAATTATATTAGACAAATGTGTAAAAATGAGTACTACGTATTTCTTTATTTTAAAATTAGTACTACTTTTGCCAGAATGAGTACTACGTATTTCGAAATGAATGTTTATATTTGTACGAGAATAAATACTACTTTATTTCAGAATGAGAAAATACCGGGATGCACCTATTTCTAGGTAAATTAGGATGTACCATATGCCAAACTCCACTTAACCCCATTAAAATATATTAACTCAAAAAATTATCATTATTTCCATACACTCTGTTTCCCCATTCCTGATTAAAATTGAAAACTACTCTGGTTATTAAATGAGAGCCATCAATTAATCCATCGGGAACCCTAGTGAAGACCGAAGAGCTGTGAATCGTGAAATTCAGTGGCCAATTCACCATCGCCCAGTCGCATAGCAGCGTCATCTTCCCCAATCAGTCCGTGACTCCATAGGAAACATCGATCTCTGTGTCCAGCAAGTCAGTGAATGGGTAAGTTTCTTCTGGGTTCCGACTCCATCTTCAATATTGTTATTTAAAAGAAAAATTGTGAAGTGTGCTGGCATTCGAAACTAAACATGGTCAATTAGTAATTTTTTTCCGAACGCAATAGATAAACAAGTACTCCTGTGAGTTTTTTCAGAAGGCAGAAAACAAAGATAATTAAAGCCAATTGAAGGGTTGTTCTTTTTTTCTTATATGGACCCGAGGCAGTGATGTTCAGACTATTGCCTTCATATATTTGTAAGTGTTTCATGCTATGTGACCTTTATTAGTTGGGTATTAAATGACTGTTTTCTCAATTTGTTCATGAGAAGGGATTGATTGAATCTTCATGTGGCAGTATGAGAGTTAGATTTTAGTTTCCGATTCCAAATATTTAGTTAATTCTTTAAGCTTTATACTTTATTTTGAAAGGATTTCAGAATTGGTAATTGTTTATGTTCTTAAAAAGTTGTTTTAATGTCTACCTAGCAAATAAAATTTTGACAATGAATTAGTTCTCTACTTCACAAACTGTAACTTTAGATTGTTACTTTGCATAGTATGTTTAAGTTTGTTTTTTCTTTATACTATATGCATTCCCTTTATTTGTTGATTCAGAAGTAGACAATTCTAAATATATACATTTTTTGTGCTTGATTGTGACTATTAATAGAATTTGAGAATTTGTATGCAAATCAAAGTGAAAAAAGAACACGTGCTTCAGAAATCAGAATCAAGAAATAAGAGTTGATTCTCAATGTTCTTCTAATTTTCAGTTATAGTTTTCCCTATTCTTTTGCTGAGTGTGAGGAAGTTTGTCACTTATGCTACTGTACTGCCTTCTTGATTGTGTTCAAAAAATGTTTCATTACTGAGTTCAATTTGGGAACTAATGATTCAGTGCTCACTTGTAATTTGCATGGGGGGACTTTGATTTTGTGTTTTACTTTGGGTCTACGTTGTAGCCTTATGTCTTTTTTAATATATTTATTATTTAGGTGGTTTCTCTTCTCTTTTTGGGAGATAGCTTTCGTTTTAGTTTAGGGGACTTTGTGGCAAAAAAGCAGCGAGGGGAAGTTTTTTAAATTCTTCGCATTAGAATTAGTTAAATGATACATCTAATGAGTATTTTGTTCAATCCTTCACACACACACACACACACACACACACACACACACACACACATATATAGGAGGGGGGGCACACGTTCAGTCAAATGGTTCACCTTCCAAGTTCCAACAAGGCAACTTATGCAGTACGGTCCAAGGAAACTTGTGATATTCGTACCACCTGTACTCCAACTGAGGATATAACTTCTGTGGTAGTCCCTTCTGATAATACTAAGGATTGATTGGTTGCTCCTGAAACTGAGAAGGCTGTTTTTATCACTAGTGAATCTGGGATAACTTTGGATGACGGTGTTACTGAATAGGTTGATGCTGCTTCTTTTTCTCTAATTGTTAATGATGCTCCAGTAAGTATATATACTACTGACACAGGGATATGTTGACTTAAACTCTAATCCCCCGTCCCACAAATTTATACAAAAAACTAAGTAGGCTTCTTTGATTACTTATGAATCTCGGAAAACTTTAGATTGCTATTGAATAAGTTGACAATGCTACTTTGATCCCCACCATCTAATGACGATTCAATTAATGTCCCTACAAGTCTAATATCTATTGTGGAACCACGGGGAGATGATGACCTTAGTTCAATTCTAATCCCCCTTCCCCTTCAAACACCATTGTCGAAAGGCACTTCTTATTGTGTTTTCAGGGAATTGGCAGAAGCTGCAAAATCAAAGGATAACGATGGGTACGTTTTCATGTTTGCCATTGTGTGAGCAAATCAAACAACTAAAGATTTCCCATTGGCAACTGAATGCCAATGTACATTCCACAACACTTATTCAACTCCTTGGCAGGAACACGCTAGTGGCTGATGAAGGCCCTTCTGCCTCAAAATTAACATCTATTAATAGCTTTGCACCCTCGAAGACATCCACAAAGAGGAATAAATCTCTTACAGAGGATTAGAAGACAAATTTACTCTTGTAAGGTCAAAAATTCTAACAGGACGCTGGTTCGAGTGATGATGATTCAAAAAAATGGTGGCACTCTGTATGGGAGAAGCGAGAACAACTCAATAGGACAGGGGCGTGGAAGGCGGTGCAGGTGTGGCAACAATCAATAATGATGGTGCAGATTGTAGACCTTTGAAAAACTTTAATGCTGAGATTATTGTCACAAGCGCTCACACCGACGGGTGACTTTTATCTTTCTTTGTAATGAAACGGAAGAGGAAGCTGCCCATGGAAGTGAGTGGGAAGTGGTTTCACTTATGGCAAGCTGAATGGTAGGGAAGAGTACGAGGGTCAAACTTCTAACGCCTTGTTTATGTCTCATCACTTTGCTCTTCCATAAAGTCAGCATGAATATTTTTGCAACTAGATCCAGAAAAGAATGAGATTCTTAGTAGGTGGTTAAAGAGCCTGAATTTGTCTCTGAAGATGGGGGTGGTAACACAGGTGTGAACAATCAAGAGCATTTGGAAACCAAAGAAGTGAGCTCGTCCGAGTTTCCCGGGATGCAGGTTTTTAATGAAAAGGCCCAAAAGGGTGATCTATGTGTTAGTGGTGCAAAATGTGAAGATGATGCAACAAGGTTAGACCAGGTAGATAAGGAACCAAGATTATATGGCACTGCAGCCTATAGTAGTTCTCTACAGGGTGAAGCGAACATGTCTTTTTTGGGTGAAAGTATTCCAGCAAGCAATGATCCATTAGAAACTCCTCATCAGCAGGTACACATCTTAGATTTTCCAGATAAGAAGAAACATGATGGAGATGATTGCCTTCCTTGTCAAGCTTGGTGGAAACGACAAGCTGCATCTCTTATTGCTCATGCTAAGGAAGCGAGCACGTTCTGGTCGGTTTTCATTGTAGCATCCGTAATGGGCCTCGTGATTATTGGGCAGTGCTGGCAGCCTTAAAGGTGGCTGCAGTCAAAGTGGCAGCAGCTTGGACTCCATCCATGAAGAGGTGTGTCACCAAATGCATTATTTTTAATTATTGAAACATGTGTAATGAATGGAGGACTAGTCTTCTATCATACAACTCCACTCTACATTTAACTATTTAAGGCAGTCAGAATACAATCATCTGCTGCTCTTTTCTAGGCTTTTTTGGGTCTCTAATACACTGAATCATGGACATATACTTCTAAAATTTATGCTCAACAGCTAAATAAGAGGCTATGATTTACTAATTGTAACAAAACATGATGTTTCATTTGTCGATATGTACAGAGGATGTGCAATATGGTGGGTCCTCTATCACGGCTTAGGAACGCAATCAATGGAGGTGAGCGTCGAGGTTCGTCTCTCAGAAGCAGCAACCCTGCTCGACGTTAAGATGATTACGAGAGAAAAAATACAATGGTTTCTTCACTACGGAGGCTATAGTGACGGGTGATGAGAGTAAATTTCCTCTTATTAAAACTTTTTAATGAGCGTTTTTCTTTCTTTAACTATAGTTTTTACTCTTATTAAAGGACATATTTCTTGTAGTGATCAAAATAAAAAACTTAATATTTTTATTTTCAAAATGAATATTTACATTGTGTTAATTAAGCGGATGAATTTCACTCTCTATCGCTAGGTGTGCATTGCTTCAAATGACTTGGGGGGATCACATGCATGAAGATTCATGCATGTGCATACAGCAGATATACATACAGCAGTATTGACCTGATAATAAAAAGGGACCACGTTTGATGATTGTTCACATCACATTTGTTATCTAGCCACTTCTTAACTCACATATTTTAAAACTTTCATGAGTTTAAGATGAACTTTTTTTGTAAATTATTTGACCCATTTTTGAAATTTACATACATTTGAACTTCGTGTAAATTAAAAGTTGTTAACTTAAAAATTGCGGCACCCCACAAAGAATATTGTTTAAAAAAGAATATTAATTCAATGATTCACAAAATAAATTTATGTTTGGTAGTGTTGGTACAGAGTGCAATTTTTTCGGTCTCGTGCCGGGCCATAAAGTTCTCGGGACCGGCCCTGTTTTTAATATTATACATTTACCCTTTGCTATTATAAGTTTTTTTAAAATAATTCACCCTAAATAAGTGTAAAACATAGAAAAATATCAAAATATAAAATTTAATATTTTTTTTCAAAATGAAAATTTACATTATGTTGATTAAGCTGATGAATTTCGCTCTCTATAGCTAGGTGTGCATTGCTTCAAATGACTCGGGAGGGATCACATGCATGAAGATTCATGCATGTGCATACAGCAGATATACATACAGCAGTATTGCCCTGATAATAAAAAGGGACTGCGTTTGATGATTGTTCACATCATATTTGTTATCTAGCCACTTCTTAACTCACATATTTTAAAACTTTCATAAGCTTAAGACGAACTTTTTTGTAAATTATTCGACCCATTTTTTAAATTTACATTCATTTGTACTTCATGTAAATTAAAAATTGTTAACTTAAAAATTGCACCCCACAAAGAATATTGTTTAAAAAAGAATATTAAATCAATGATTCACAAAATAAATTTATGCTTGGTACAGAGTATAATTTTTTTGGTCAGAGTAAAGGGCCTTTTTTTTGGTCTTGTGCCAGGCCATAAAGTTATCGGGACCGGCCCTGTTTTTAATATTATACATTTACTCTTCAGACATATCAAAATAAAAAATTTAAAATTTTTATTTTCAAAATGAAATTTACATTGTATTAATTAAGCTGATGAATTTCACTCTCTATAACTAGGTGTGAAAAATGGATCATCTCTTCAACCATGTGCATGGATATATTGGGTAAGATTAATTGCCCAAATTAAAGAACTTAAAGTGATCTGCACATTATTCATTATAAAAGCATCTTTTCTTGGAGTTTGAGGACTTTTGGGACCATGGGACACGACCTATTCACACACAATATATACTCTCTTCAAATTAAATTAAATTGTCAATTTACTTTTTACGTGGTCAAACATCATTGGCTTTTTTATTCTACTTTCGTTAGCTATTTGATAAAATAATATAGTATTCCATCACTAGTTTTGAAGATATTTTGATGTAAAATTTAAACTTATAAATTTTATTTTTAATTCTACACCATTTTTCTTATAAAATGATTTGAAAATAACTTCATTCAAACATCGTAAACGAAACACATAATTTAAATTGTGACGGAAGGAATAGTACATACCATAATAAACAACTCTGCCTAATCTCAGCTTAGTTGAGGGACATTGCGATAATATAATTCACTTTATTAAATAAGACTAAAAAATAGAAAAAAATATCAAATCGGTTTTTCATGTTTTTATTTTCGAAATAGAAGTGCGCACTGTAGTAATTTGGAAATAATGTGACACTGTACACGTGCACTTGGTTTAATCATTTTTGCAATGCAAGCGGATATATGGTAGCATAGCTGCATATCCCAGCAAGGTAAGTCATTATACTCCGTATTTGTTAATAACTGAATTAATACGTACGTAGTACTAAACATTATTTAAAAGTTTGAGAATTTAGCAAATGATGTATACAAGAATAATGAGAGAACGAAATGTACATTCAAAATTTAGTTCAATAATTGAGCTATATATGTTTGATTGGTTACGTTCAAAACTCTTAATTACACTCCCGCTATTGAAATCCGGTGGGTTCTTTTCATCATAGTATTAGCTAGCCATATGTTGCATATTACTTATCGATCGCTCCTGAAATAAGTAATTACTCCCTTCGACTTAAAATTGACATTCTTGATCAAACTTTTAAAACTTTGACGGAGAGATACATTTTTTCACTTTCATTTTTAGTCAACTAAAAAAATGGTCATATCACATTTAAATTCTGTACCAAAGTGCTCTTTACTCAGACCTGTATGTATAACTGTATGTATACAGTAGATATACATATAGCAATATTCCCCTGATAATAAAAAGGGACCATGTTTGATGATTGTTCGCATCACATTTGTTATCTACCACTTCTTAACTCGCATTTTTTAAAACTTTCATAAGTTTAAGATGAACTTTTTTGTAAATTATTTGACCCATTTATGAAATTTACATATATTTGAACTTCATGTAAATTAAAAGTTGTTAACTTAAAAATTGCACCCCACAAAGAATATTTAATCATTGATTCACAAAATAAATTTATACTTGGTACAGAGTGTTAATTAAGCTGATGAATTTTACTCTCTATAGCTAGGTGTGCATTGCTTCAAATCACTCGGGAGATCACATGCATGAAGATTCATGCATGTGCATAGAGTAGATATACATACAATAGTTTTGCCCTGGTAATAAAAAGGGACCATGTTTGATGATTGTTCACATCACATTTGTTATCTACCCACTTCTTAACTCGATCACATATTTTAAAACTTTCATATATTTAAGATGATTTTTTTTGTAAATTATCCGACCCATTTTTGAAATTTACATACATTTTAACTTGATGTAAATTAAAAGTTGTTAACTTAAAAATTGCACCCCACAAAGAATATTGTTTAAAAAAGAATATTAAATCATTGATTCACAAAATAAATTTATACTTGGTATAGAGTAATTTATTTGGTCAAAGTAAAGGGCCCTTTTTTCGGTCTCGTGCCAGGCCATAAAGTTCTCGGGACTGGCCTTGTTTTTAATATTATACATTTACTCTTTGCTATTATAAGTCTTTTTTAAATAATTCACCCTAAATAAGTGTAAAACATAGAAAATATCAAAATAAAAAACTTAATATTTTTATTTTCAAAATGAAAATTTACATTGTGTTAATTAGGCTGATGGATTTCACTCAGCTTGGGGACCACTTCTCTCCAGCTAGTCAGTTGTATATATTAAGGGATCTACTTCGTTCCATCCTACGTTCTACCGAAATTTGAGATATAAATACTCCCTCTGTCCCCCTGTATTTGTCCACATTTGACTTTTGGAACTGTTTATCTAAGCACTTTGACTCATCAAATTCTCTCAATGTGTACGCCTAAATATAGTCATGTGTAATCTTGTTTGATTTGTCTTAACATATAGATTATTAATATATAATTTTTATAAATTTTTAATATACAAATTACAGGATAAAATAGATTAAAGAAGTGCATTGGATGGTGTGCAAAAATGAAAGTGGACAAATACAGAGGGACGAAGGAGTATAATTTTAGAGCTATATATATAGCAAGGGAGTTGTGACTTCAAGGCTCGTCCTTTTTTTATTATCTCTTTTAATCTGCATTAATTAGGGTTTTAATAATAAAAAAAATAAATAATAATATTAATAATAATAATAAATAATAATAATGTCCCTCCGCCTTATAAAACTAACTAGCTAGGGAATAATATTATATAAGCACCTGTAAGTTGACCATCCTTTCAATTCAAATGTACTCCCTCCGTTCCACAAAACACTTACTCTTTCGTTTTTTTTTGCTTTCCACAAAACACTTCCACTTTCCATTAAAAAACTACTTTTACCTCTTCTTTTCATACCCTACCTATCACATCATACTTTTTCACTAATAACCAAACTATCACATTTTATTTTTTTCCATCACATCAAGGGTAAAATTAGAAAGTCAACCAAAATTTCACTTTCCTTATTTTTCCCCAAATTCAAAACCGAAAGGGTTTTGTGGAACGGAGGAAGTAGAATTTATAGTTTTCTAAATTTATAANTTGGCACCATAAGCAAGCTAAGCATTGGTTTTGGTCATGAGTCATGACTTACTCACAAATACTACGTATAGTAACACATAATTAAGGGATTGGCCATTGAGTGATTAGAATTTTCATTATTAATAATGTGATGATGATTGTTCACATCACATTTGTTATATATCCCCTTTTCTTAACTCACATATTTTAATACTTTCATAAGGTGAAGATAACTTTTTTGTAAATTATTTGACCCATTTTTGAAATTTACATATATTTGAACTTCATATAAATTAAAAGTTGTTAATTCAAACTTGTATACTCCTTCCGTCCCAAATTATTTGACACATTTGATTTTTCAACAGTCGCGGAAACTTTTGTTTATTTCTACGTTTTCATTGGTTGGAGGACGTCTCCGGCTCGGTGAAGATCCTTTGAGAATCTGACATTGGTGGTGGTGGATGGTGGCGAGGTGTGTATGGAAATGAGAAGAGATGAAGGAGCTGGGGAAAGAGATGAAGGCCGGGAAAGAAATTGGCCGGGGGGAGGGAGGGAGAGAGAGAGAAGAGCTGAGTGGGGAAGAAGATGAAGCTGAGTGGCCGGGGTATTTATTGAGGACCTCTGATCTCTAATTATCACTATAAATTAAATTTTGGGGGAGGGAGAGAGGAGCTGAGAGAGAGAAGCTGAGTGAGGAAGGAAGCTGATAGAAAGTGGGGGTATTATCATTTATCAGTATAGTTTAAGAATTGTGATGGAAAACACGGTTCAAAAGATCTATCTTAAAGTGTCAAATTTTAAGTTGATAAAATAACATTGCATGTCACTTTTTTCTAAAGTGAAAATTTATTTGCACTAAATAGGACTAAAACATAATGACTTTCCTAATGTACAACTTAAACTTTTTTATTCTCTAAATAAGACTTAATAATGACCTAGTGGAAGAATAATGTCCAGCAATGATGGACATTTAGTTGAATAATGACTACTTGATAATGACCAAAGGTCCTACATTGGAAAATAAAAAACATATGGTCCTATATTGGAAAAGTCATTATATTTTAGTCCTA